GATAAAGTTAATACTGACTAGTCTAAGCTCTGTAGAAAAATTCCTGATATCAAAGAGAAAAAGTCTAAATATATATAAATATATAAGTACGACATTGAACTAATCATTTAAAAAATTTGCAATTTCCTTTAGAATCTTCTTATTTATAGTATTAATAGAAGTCATTAAGAGAGACAGCAATCATATATATGATTCACATCGTTCATGTTATCTGGGAGCTTTACTAGGTTTTCTTTTCCTTACTTAGTTTTTATTTCTTTTTTCAATAGTTATATAGATAAATTTTTAAATTTCTCTCTCTCGCAAATATAATAATAACGGGTGGCCCAGAATAAATGAAGGTCTCAGTATTTTGACTATAACTTTTTTTCTTTTTGATCTTTAGAGTTGCTTGTTTTACCAAAAGATGCACCGTGAAATTCTCTACAAAACCATAATCAAAGTTATTTCTGTAGAAAGTTCAGGAGAAACGCTAAATGAATATTATTCAAAACATAAAAAGTGCCCAACTTTCACAGCTAGCGAGTGTCCTATGCATGCTTGGTATTTGTATACCGTTTTTAATTATGAATTAGGGTGCATTTTAAAAACAAAGTACACCATAAGATGCAGCGTGAAAAGTTCTACAAGCTACATTAAGAATTTTATTTTATGCATGTACTTATTATTTTCTAAATGATCAGAATTATGTGCGACCAGTTTTCTACTCTGCAAAAAAGACCATTTTTTGGTCGCACAGAATTTTGCATATTTTAAAAACAAAAGATGCATGTATATAAAATAACTTGTTCTCTGTAAGTTGTAGAGCTTTTCACACTGTATCTTGTGGTATATTTAGTTTTCTTTGAAAAGAATATATTAGCTGATACAAAGTTGAAATAAGAAAAACGAATTCATATTGTACCAAAAAACTGCTCTTGTTCGCAGAGTCGAAAATTGGTCCCACAGAATTTTGATTATTTTGAAAACAAAAAGTGCATATATAAAATAAGGTTTTTAATGTAACTTGTAGGGCTTTTCACGCTGCATCTTATAGTATGCTTTGCTTTTAAAATATGTCTACTAGAGAAGGATAAAAAGAGAGATACGAACACTAGTCATTCGTAGAACATCCGTTAGCTTTGAAAGTTGGGCACTTTTTATGTTTTGAATAATATTCATTTAGCGTTTCTCCTGAACTTTCTACAGAAATAACTTTAATTATGGTTTTGTAGAGAATTTCACGGCGCATCTTTTGGTAAAACAAGCAACTCTAAAGATCAAAAAGAAAAAAAGTTATAGTCAAAATACTGAGACCTTCATTTATTCTGGGCCACCCGTTACAATCACATTCATATCTTGAAATTAGCTCATCGAGCTGTACAAACTCGTATGCGTTTGATTCAAAAGAGCGCGTCACATTTGGATATCTTCCTTTGTCAATCTATCATTATATACCATATTCTAAAGAATTAATATAATTTGAGAACTCTCTGAAAAAGATCAATGGGGGAAAACGTATATTATTACTGTGATTAATTCGACGAGCTTTATCAACTAGAATAGCTCTCGATTGAATCTGCAATGCACACCTCGGGTAGTACTCTCATTAGTGCAGAATGCTCTATTACAAATCTATTTTGTAACACTGAAGAGACAGCTTATCTTGGATGTTTTTCGAAAAATTCAGAATCGATAAGTCATTTGACAAGTCACTTAGGCAAGAACGAACCGATCATGGCTTGTTTCTCTACATTATGTTCTGAATTTAAGAAATCGCTGCTTTGCTTTACGTTTGTAGATTAAACGTGGGAAGAATCCATTCTTTTCAATTAAATCAAAAGAAATACAGTGCTAAAAGTACTGGAGGATGAACCCTTGAGAAAGATTGAATCTACAGTCGTAGTATTTGTTAAGCATAATATATACCAAACCCCCATATATAAGTTTTCATATTTATATATAATGGAGTAAATTGAGATTCTTATGATTCTTTCGAGCTATCATAGAGAATTTGTTGCCATCTGATGAAATGCTTAAACATGATCGAAACACGCGTCACGGCAGCTTGTCACACTCACACCAACAACCTAGTTCATATTGTAGCATGTTCAATTCTGCATTCAATAATATATAGGACATTGTTTTTAAGCGTTGTAAACCAAGCTATTTGGGCTCAAATGATGAGTTCTCATATCTTACTGAGTTCAATAGGTCTGGGTGAATCCATGGGAAACGTACCACTTTATACATGACTTTCTCAGAATCGACTGAAACTTTCAGAGTTTGTAGAACTCGATAAGCTGATCATTTTGGTAATAAATTGTTAAATGTTTGAATATAGACTCTGATTCAAATAAGCAAAATACGATTTTCGAAATGTCGGGAAAACCATCGTCAAACTGAAAAGTTCTAATTTTTGCGCGAAGATTTTCTTTGTGGGTGTGGGTGTTGCATGCGGCTGCTCAGCGATTCTCAGACATCCACTCACACCGACCCCATACCCATACCCACACCCACACCCACACCCACACCCACCCTCCACATAGCTTTTGATTGAGGTATTTTTCGGAATTGTTTTATATTTTATTGTCCAGCCAGTAATAGGTAACAATGAACGTGGTCATGCTCATGTTAGTGTTGATGAATTACTTAAATAAGAATTTGCAGATGAATTATTATTTGAATCAATATATCTATTCAGAAATATATACAGGATGACAGTTAAATAGTGGCAGAACCAGGAAAAAGTTGTGGGTGTGGGTATCATTCATCTCTTTACTAACACTCACATCCACACCCACCCATACTCACACCCTTGCGAGATATTTTCGCACATGGAATCGCCATCTGTGAGATGCTACTGTAGTGCCATTTACAATCTTTTTGTTTTTTGAAAATAAGAGTCAGATCAAAAGTACACACACAAAATGTGAATTCGAGCGGAACACATTCGCAACGGAAGCAAGACCTGTTCGAGTCCTATAGATTCTTATAGATTTGGTTACATCTTAGTAGAGTTACTATATTTAATACAATAAGGTATATCTACCAGATATAACGGATAAATCTTTTTCTTGAAAAAATATAAAAACTTTGCTGTCTCATGAACTCCATATTATAGGATCAGAAAACATGAATAAGAAAACGTGATTCAAATCAGAAGAGTTATTAATATTTACAAAGCTTGAAAGAATTATTAGCTGAACAAGAACATAACAGAAAAATTAAATGTTATGTGAAATTGTTGGATGCAAAAATTTCACTAAATCTCAAACTTATCGTGGCTTTCATCATAGAAAAATATCAGATTAAAACTATCTGGCATTTTCCTTGGGCTTCGCCGTGTAACACAAAATATTACGACTTCATGTTGATATAGTATGCTATAGTCCAAAGATTTTCAGACTTCTATTTCTTTTCATCATTAGGTAATTCGAATGATTTTATGTTCACCTTAAGACAGTACTGGAACAAGCGAAGCTTTTTACTTTCATCGTCTTCGACATAAAGCTTTAACTATTGTTTCGTTAGCATTTTCATGCCTATTATGATCAAAACTTTAGTTACATTGTGTTGATAGCTCAATGCTCGTCTCTTAACTAAGTAAACCAAGTATGTAATATTAAGAAATCGTTCATAAATTGAGATTAGTTAAAGTTACAACTAAAAATGAGAGGGAGACAGTAAAGTGAATCAGAGAGAGACTGCCAACCAAAAAAACACTTATAAATCGATCATCGAGATCAATTTCATATCTATCTAAGTCATGACTAATGTGCAAATTAGATTGGCACTATGTGTATATTATATAATAAGCTTGCTTCTATTTTTCGTATTATTCAGATACGTTACTCATCACAACGAGATTAATAGAAGTCAATATATTGGAAAATTTTATGTAAACTTAATCTTGATTTGACTTAGTGGTCATTATGTAACACCGTTTACTTGTTTTTGCAAATGATTCATTTTTACCTTTGCATCAAGGCACCTTTATATGTTTCTTACTCTTCATTAATGTGCTTGGTTTTTTCCCTTTATTTATTTATTTTTTCTACACACTCTATCACAAACGTAGCTACACAAGATGCAGATGTTGTGTATGAAACGATGCACTTCAGTGATTTGTGCATAGTTAATACTGCATACGAAATAACATCAACAAATATTCATACTTTCGAGAAGCAAAAGGAAGTAGAAAAATATCAAATTACTTTTTATTTTGACGAATGTAATATATTAGATTCATGTACGCATCAATTAAAGAAATACTTAAAACTGACTTTTTAAGTAGATTATTTAAAAAAAAAAAAGTATATGATGATTACGATTAAGTTATGTGCGATGTAGTAATCGGTGTTAACGGAAATTATTTCGACCGATAATAGTTTGATATAAAACTATTTTTTTCTTTTGGTTTTCAGAAAATATTTAGTTTTCGATATTTCTGTCGTATGAAAGAAATGAGACACAGAGATGACAGTAAGTCTTTTATGAAAGAACAAAAGAGATGCGACTTGATTTTTGTTATAGAGACTAATATAAATACTTATTTATCATTTTAAACTTTTCTGTTTAGACTTTTGTTGTTTCATTTGGTTCGATATATATACTATTATAAAAGTACTAAAATGTTGGTTGTTTAACTATTGATTAATCAGTTGATCGTTAAATAAGTTTCTCCGTTATATATTAAAATTTCCTTCTTTTTTTGTACTCTTTAACGAAACTCCTTCATTTAGAGCTTTTTATTTTAGTAAAAAAAAGCATTATATCTTGACAAAAAAAGGATTTGAATATGATCATACAAAAACTCTACATGAGCAAGCAATAGTACACTATAAAATGGAATGTACATAAAATGAAGAGTCCATTGACAAAAATGAGAAAAATACATAAATTCATATCAATAATAAAAAAAAGTGAATAATCAATGGAATGTATGTGTGTCATCAAAAGAAAAAGACAAGAAAAAAAACTATATACAACAAAAAAAAGAAAAACAAATAAATTCAGATTCATCGACTGGTTAACATTGCAAAAGACATAGTTAATAAAAGAAGAATAAAATTAAGTGGTTTTATTGAGCTAGCAATAGCAATACGACATTTAAGTTGATGAAAACGTGACATTAATGAATTATTGCTCATCAATATATTCCATTGTACATCCATATTATCTCCATTAAAGAAATCATTAAAATCAATAAATGGATATTCATAGCCTGGTCGACAACGACATTTATATGTACCTAAAACAAAACCACGACCAAGTAATGGTTCACACTAAAAGAAATATATATATATAAATATCATTAACAAAAAAAATGATAATCATGAAACATACCACTGTGCTTTGATAATCACAACGATCACTGCCTTTAAATGCATTTGGTACATAATGAGGCATTGAACATTGATTGATATCCAAATAATTGAGATAAGCATCAACTCGTACTACACCCCTAAGAAGAAAAAAAAAAACTCGATAAATAAAAATATATTTTATTTTAATTTTGTACTTGAATTCAAGATTGATTCCAAGTGCATCAAGTCCAAAAAATGGTACAGCATACGTAACAATCCATTGACGTGGTAATGTATAATTTCTACTACATTGAAATGTTGGTGGAAACCATTGACCATGTCTAAAATGAAAATTTATTAATTTAAATACAATTATTAATTATTTATTTTACTTTAATTCTGGTGCATAAGAATAAAGTGGAAAACCAGATTCATGATGTACTAATGCATTACCAACATAATCAGATCGAATAAATAATTTAAGCCAATGTTCAGTTAATTCCGAACGATCAGCATTTGTTGCCCATCGAGCTTTTAATGTCTAAATGATTTAAAAAAACTTACGAGGCTGAAGATTCAAAATTAGAGCTCGTCGAATTATATCTAAAAATTTACTTCTTGGCTTATTCGTCATATGATCAGAAAACAAAACCATACCTATTTTTTTAGAATATGGTGTTTTGATGGTTAAGAAAAGGAAACTTTTTGATATGATAGCATACAGAGTCAACACGAAAATCTATTTCGAATAATATACTCTATACTTAAAACAAGTTTTCGTCAAATTTCGGTTCTTATATTTCTCTCACAGTTATTTTTTGCATATTCTAATTTGTGCTTCCACTAAGATCGAATTTGTGCCCGTAAAGACTGTGGGCACTCATCCTAGGCTGTACTTCTTTTTTTTAACTGAAATTTAGCTTTTTCTGGAAACAGATAAAAATTGAGACGTGATGCTATTGTCATATTTCAATGTTTATAGGTTTTAATAATTCTTTTTGAACCTAATTTTCGTAAGTTTCACTAGAAAGAACTATATTTTTAAAGATAATTCGACAAACATGACAAAGAAAAAATTTTGCTCGAATTTCAAACTGCTAACACTTTAAACTAAAATCTAAATCATCTTACTCGAAACCATATTTCATTTTCATAACCATCAGGTAAACCAGCCCAATCAACAACAGTATATTTTCGGCTGATATCTTTTTCTGTTCGATAAGCATATGGTCCAAAATATGGTAAACGATAATTTCGAAATTTTCCGCGATCAAAAAAAATACCAACACCAACAACTTTATAATCACCACCAGCTGCAGCTACGACTTCACCAATTAATTGTTCATCAGTTAAATCAAGTTCAGCTTTACGTAGTGGAAAATCTTCAGCTGGATTAACAATTTGATAAAAACTTGATAGAAAATGTGATAATGTTAATGCTAAACGTGCTTGAGATTCCAATTGAATGTCAACATCATTTAAAACATCGCCTGGCATTGTTAAATCATCTTCAGTCATGAATTCACATAATTGTGGATCACGCTTAAGACGATCGTAGAGTTGCATTATTGCTGCAATACGTGTTGGACGTTCATATGCATAACGTTTTGTACGACTTTTTTTCATATGATCTTCGGATTTATCATTCTCAAAGCCTGTTACAAGTTTACCAGAAAATAAAGCAAAACGATAAATAGATGATTTAAGAAACGAAGAAGTTGGAGATGATATTGTTGCTATTGAATTTACTTTTGAAACTGAATAAGAGAAAATGATATGAATTAGAAAAAAAACAAAAGCTTAAACCTACTAGATTCGATAAGTGGTGGTAGAATAGGATCTTTACTTAAATCATTATAAATTGATTCATTGGACATATCACCATTGTAATCAATTGATCGACGTGTACGTGAAGCAAATACTTCAATATTTGATTGATAGAGGTTTTGTGGAACTTGTAAATATACTAAAAGAAAACAAAACTTGAAGGTCACTTAAAACTTCATAAATTGATTATAAAAATAGTATAAATACTAGAGATACACGAGATGAAAAATTCTCGATTTTTGTCGAAGTGATTTTTTGTAATCTTTTATACCAAGAATTTAAGGGTATCTCCTCTTGTTTAGTCATTTTCGGTTCTCTAAAAGGGTGCACAACGGGTCCACATGAAACTTTTACGGCAGATAGAGCATCTGAAATAAGGAGACACACGTTCGAGGAAAAAGAAATTTAAACAAGCTTTCTGCAGTTTTTTCATGAAAACTCTGGTTTTCGTTTTTTGACATTCCTATCCGGCTTCCTAGAACTCTGAATGTCAGCACCTCAGTTTTGGATTCCAACCTTTACGTATTTTGTCTCAATAACAAAAAAAAAAGATTTTTGAAAAATCTTAAAATCATCTCTCAGACACAGCTAGATGGTGGGCCTATGAAAAACGAGTTTTTCTTGAGTATGTCTCCTTATTTTAAATGCTCTATCTGTCATAAACAGCTCATGCGAATTAAAAGTACTCTTAACTGAAATCCAAATATAGGGTAATTTTCAGTTCGTAGGATATACGTAGACCATTCAAACCATAGAGCTTGTTTTTTCAAAAGTCTTTCTCTCATTATCCATCTATAAAATTTCAATACGAAATGTATCTGATAGAAAACTTCATTGACTATTCAAAACACTATTTGCATTTGAATTAAATATTTAGTTAAACAAAACTGTCGAAGTTATTAATTATGAATACATACATTCAACTTTAATACAATCAAAATTATTTTGATATTCTTCTTTTGTAGCTTTTTCAATAACATAACCTTGAAATGGTCCATCTTGATATGGTGGATAACGAAAACCAGGTTGACAAAGACATTGATAACCACCACGTCGAAATCCAAAACCAAACAATGGTTCACAACGTGTCGTTGGTTTACATTTATCTGTACCAGCAAACAGATTTGGTTGTTTTGATTGTGGATCATTTGTTTGTGCACTTGTTGGACCAACTTCAATACACTGATTAATATCCGTCATAAGAAAATCAATATGAGTTACAGCAACTGCTAAATTACGCATCGATTGTAAATGTCGATATTCTGTATGTCGTGGATATATATCGACAATAGGTGAAACAGCACTAATTATCCATTTATCGGATCGACCACAATCAAAATATGGACGTGTCCATAGAGTTGGCCCTTAACGAATAAAAAAAAAAATTTTCATATTTATTATTATCGATAAACATACCTTGTGGATCTTCTGGATGTGGTGGTCCATAAAACTCAAAGGTTTGAGGCACGTCACGAAGTTTATACATTCGTTCAGCTAGTAATAATTGAACGGTATGTACTGGTTTACCTATAAAACAAAAGAAACAAGATAATAAAAATAACAAGTCATCGAATTTTAACTCACTAGAAAGTATTTCCGACGAGGCAAAAAAAGATATAACTTTATGTTCTTTTCGAATATAAACTTAAACGTTTTGTTTTAGTTTTTGCTCGAGAGTAGTGAAATAATCTTTGAAAAACTCAAAAAAATTAGAATTGAACAGAAAAGTTTTATATTTTCATTATTGCAATTCGAAACTAAAAAGTGCACTATTTGAAAGTTTTTCTCATCTTTTCTAAATACTTATTTTTGAAAAAACGTTTGTAGTTTCACTTGGTTAAAAACTGTAGCTTAGTTCAACATCACATTTTGTACAGAAATGTCCGCTCAACAAAACGACCCACTTCGACAATTTTTAGTATGTTCGACAAGGAACTTATAAGTAATGGTTTTGTTTATTGTTTTTATCATGCTGAAAATTGACTGCGTTTCTTAGATAGATTATAGAATTCGGCAAAGTCCTTTTCTAAGCCCATAGTCGAAAAGCATAACTTTTGACTCGTTATCAATACTTTCTAGCGAATAAAAAGTGAACAAACATCTTGTCTAAAAATTTTCCAATAATCTGTTATAAAAACAAATTTTTGTTTTTACCTCGTCCTTGATCATTTCGTGTTTGATCTGGTAACCATTTACTATACCATTCATTTCTTCGATTATAACGTGATGTATATTGACGATATCGACCAGCTCCACTATCTTCTTCTTGGATCGTTTGATTTGTCCATTCATTTTTCCAATTAAATGCATCTACACAATAACAACAATAAAACAATTTTTTAAAATTTTCTGACAAAGCTGAAATTTTTTTTTTCTCACCATAGAAATCATCAGCTCGCCAAGCATATGGGCCAAATAATGGAATTGTTTTATTAAAAAAATTTTTATACCAATGTGGATAATATTTATCTTGATCAAAATAAACTCCCGAACCATTAATCATACTTCGACCACCAGTTATATCAGCTATCGTATATAAGAATAGAAATTTTTAATATTCAATTTAAAAATAATTTCCTAATTACCCGCATTATGTAAAAGAATGTACGTAAGACCGGGCTCTTCAAAATCAAATAAACGTTGAAATAAATAACTATATAAAAGTGCATTTCGATGAGCAATATTTCTTATATGTAATAATTGTGTTCGATTTCTCATAATAATATCTTTTTTAAGCATTTCAATAGATGGTTTTTGATAAACAGCTTCTTCAGGTAATACTAATTCACTTGGTTGCTTTTGAAAACAATTTAGACCATTAACAGTATTCATACGATCCATTATTTCATCGATTTTATCATATGTTATCCATTCAAATTGTGAATGACTTCTATCAAATAGAAGTATACATAGCAAAAGAGATATACACAAACGTATAAATACGTTCATGATGAAAGGTCTAAAAACAAAAAAAAGAAACAAGGAATTCAATTTATTAAAAACTATTGCAAATATATAATTAATGCGCTCAATATATTTAAAGTGAAAACAACTGTTGATCACCGGTCGAAGGTCATCTTTGTACCGAAAAATTGACAGCGGCCATGTTGAGAATTCAATTGAAATTATGAACTCTTTTTACCTGTCACAGAAATAATCAATCAGGTAATACGAAAATTTTTAAATTAGATTTTTTTTCTATTTCAAAAATAGAAAAAACAATATCTTGTCCTTTATCTTTTCTTATACAATATTGTTGTGTCATAATGATTAATTGATTGTAGCGCTTGAATTTCAATTAGTTCAAGTTTATCTCCAATCAAATGTATTATCAACTTTGGTTTTCATTTTCTCTGCTTTGTTGTAACAATAAAAGAATTAGAAAGATAATCGTCATTTAGAAATCTGTTTACAATGTCTGCTTGGCGAAAAAAATTCACGTAAGCACTAGAAATAAAAATATTCAATTCATTCACTTGAACTTGATTTTTCATAGACGAAGATCACAAAGAATAAGCGAAAATAATGAAATCTTTTTGAATAATACAGTAAAATATCGTAAAAAGTTACAAGCAGCAATACATCAAATAAATCGAACTAAAAAATGTACACAACGAAATATAGATAATCCTGATTCTGATATACATGGTATATATAATTCTTTTATTGTGTTCATCTAATTTTCATTTATACTTAGTTGCACGACTTATTAATGATATTGGTCAATTATCGGATTGTAAATCTTTACAGGTATTTTGATTTGAAAGAAAAAACTTGTTAGTAGAACTCATTTGAGAGTAAAGCATAGAACTCATACGTGTTCGTTAGCTCAATTATACTAATACAAAATATGCTAAGTGAAAAATCTCAAGCAGATGATAGTTGTTTTCCAAAGATAATTGTTCGAAAATAGATATTTTTGATTTCATTTTTCATAATTTATTATTATTATTACTCTGCTTATAATTAATTTAACTGATAAAGTCTTCTGTATGCATTCATTATATATATCTACGGCAGATCTTAACGTGCTATTATTTATCTTCATATATTCACGAGAGAATCTCTTCAAGTGCTAGATTACGTTTTGGTCGAGATGATGTTCATTTGATGAATTATAGAAAATTCTAGAATAATTTTATTGAGAACTTTGTTCGGACAACATTTCAAGTGCATTTGGCGGATCACAGCTTTTTGTTGAAAAATTCAGTAAGATTTCAATATCTTGACAATAAAGACCTGGAAAACCAAACCATCCTAGACTTTTATATTCTTTTCTACCGATATTCATTTTTTCCCGAAAAATTAGAACTTAATTCGTCTATGCTTTTGTATAGGTTCTGTAACAATTGTAGCAAATCAATGTATTCATTCTTGATATCTATTGTATATGTCGACAAAAAAAAATCAGAAAATGCATTATACAGAATATTGAAAAGCGTATTTCAGCCATTTGACTTTCAAGGAAAGCTTTGAAATGTTCTAAAACTATCTAAATCATGTTACTAATGTTGTTTAGCATCTTAAAGAATTTGTTCGAAATAGTATCTATCTACTGAGTATATGTTAGGATCGAAAAATTGTCTCTAAAGGTTAAAAATCAAATTATTGAAAGTTATCTATTGTTTTGCGTTTTTTTAAAACCAAGTTTTGGATAAAAAAATTGAAGTTCATATCCCAAAGGCTTCGATCGATTCAGCTGAATTTTTTTTGTGACTATTAAGATCAAATTGGGGTGTATAGATTTTTGACAGAACTTCCAATATTTTGGTTTTCCTAAGTGAAGAAAACAATATCTTTCAATTCTCTAGGAAATTAATAGTCTAATTGATTCATTAGCAATGCGACATCAATTATCATCACGAATATTTAACGGTAATAAAAAAGTTGACTAAATATGAAATTAGTTATTTATTTGCTATTTTTTGTTATATTAAAATAGAATATGCTATGAATTCACTTCAACAGTCATTAGAAAAATTACATAATAATCTATCAAATGATTTTAATAAAGTCGAATCTGTATTTGAAGAAGCTGTAACAAATCATTGTTCTGACCATACAAAAAAACAATTATTTAATAAAGGTTTAAAAAGTTTACAATATAAAAAAATATGATCTTTTTATTTCTTTATTTCTTTATATTTTTCAGTTGAATTTGAATGGGCTAAACATAAAAAATTAGCAATTACAGAATTAAAACATGGTTTATCATCCTATTGTGACATTGGTTTATACAATCTTAGAATTCAAATAGCTATGCTTGAAAAATTTCAAGTATTGAATAAGCATATTCGTTTTTCATAAAAAAATTGTTCTGTTTTGTTCGATAGAACTTTGTTGATCAATTATCTCCTGATGAGAATGATGCAAATACTGGATTACCCAATTTTAATGCTAATAGTTTACAAACTCGAATGGAAATCGATACTATGTTACGTATTATGCTTGATAGAGCACCAAATAATCCAAATTCTTTACCTAATTCTAAACAACCAAAATTTCTTAATAATCAATTAGTTCTATCAAGTAACATATTTATTTTCGCACTTAAATATTTGTTTTCTTGGAGTCCGGTCTATTTTTTTTTAAATGTTAGATTCTCTCTATTCACCTGAAATAACTGAAGCAGCAACTCGGTCACATGGGCAATCATTAAGAGAACAAAACGCATGTCTTATTCCACAATATCCTTCTATGATTCATTCGGTAACTACTGCTAGTGCACAAATACCACAACATGAATCAATGATGATTACACCTATTACTCCAAATAACGATCGATATCAAAGTAAATTAATTCACAACGAAGATCTAAAACATAAGTCAGATCAAATATAAGATCATAGTTAGCATGGTATAGGCGGAAGTATCTTTCGGTTTCAATGAGTTTTTGCCTATAAATAGTTGATACTGAACTGTTACGATATTCTTTAAACGTACGCCGTGCTTCTAGACTACAATATTAATTTAAATACTACTTCAAACATCTCCATAGCAATTAGCTAAGGTCTCGAAGTTTTTTCAGAATATCCAAAATCCGTTTGGGTGTACATGATGAAGAATCAATAGGAATTTAATATAATGAATTTGTTTTTATAAGAATTAGCCCAAAAAATTATTAAGATATTTTAAAGTTGTTGGCTTTGTAAAATTCTTTGTCTAATATTATTTCTCAATATGACTAACTGTTGGTCATCTACGCATGGGAATGATATAATGAAATGTGACATCCTCATCCTTATCTCGTTAATATGATCAAATTTGTAATCCTTTTGTTCATGTTTGATCACTCTTTATATATATGAGACTTTTCTCTCTATCACTGATGTTAATCTCAACATGTGTACGTCAGAAGATTAGAAAGTATTGTGGGTGTGAAGAAGTCAAGAATAAAGTGAATATTCTCACCTTTTGGATAGTCTTGTTCTCAAATTTTCAGCTAACGAAAGCCGACTCTACTATTGAAAATATTGTGTAGTATAAGAAAGCATTTCGATTTCTGACCAATTTTAAATTTTGTAGTAATAGAAAATCTTTTTCTTAATGTGGCCAACTCGAAAACTTGTGTAAAAGATCATAGTGGAAGACACGTCATCTCCAAATAGAACTCAACAAGTTTTATCAAACACAACTATCTTGAGTACAATTGCTTGTTGAAAACGGAGCAATCTTTATACAGGACGTTTGATTGCGTGTCGTTTTATTGAGCAATAAAATACTTTGAAAGATTCCTATCTATGCGCTGTCCTTGTAAAGTTATGATCATTTTACAAGATGTTTTTGGCTAAAACTTTTAGGATATGTTAATAGTCTCAAGAGCTGTTTATGGACAAAATTTTAGGTCAAAACTTATTTTTTCAACTTTGTTTTTCAATAAATAAAAAATCCAATGAAATGGTCATAACTTTAGAGGACAGTGTATGGGGAGAGATTCTTTTCGGCTTGTTTTAATCTCAACAATATAGCCGGTCGATCTGTGCTTTGATATTCTCAATGAAATTTTCTAATCAGAATAGGATAATCGCCTCGAAGATATGAGATAGTCTTTTCTAGGTTTTTGTAGATCCTATCTAATGAGAGATGTCACATGGTACCATCTCGAATGATTCCTTCATTCTTCATGTTGTTCTATTTTTGAAGAAAAGTAATTATTGATGAAAAATGAGATTTCTCACGAGAAATTGATGATAATAAATATTAATATATTTTCATCGAAAACATCCAAGAATTATTCCTAAAACTTGTTTTTTTTTTCAGACACACCTGATGATGACGATAATTTACCTTCATATACCGATTTATTCGTTGTACCGAGTAGTTGCAAACAAGCACGTATACAACGAGGAAGTACACGTTTCAATAATCAATAAATAAAACATTCTTGTCTATATTTTAACAACATATCCTAGTGTTACCTTTGTGCCTGTTGAATGAATTCTTTCTATATATAAATGTCAGTATCAATGTGCAAAGATAATAATTCTTAATTTATATATGTGTAGATATTATTACCTATTTGTTGTTACTGTATAATTAGTCATTTTTTTCATTGTCAGAGAAAAAAAAACTACAGATGTACACTTTAGTCTCTATCTGTTTGCTTTGTATAGAGTTTTTTTTTGTCTTGTACTCTTTCTTCAAATATATTAATGACATTATTTAACAAAAACAAAATTATATTCTCCTTCGAAAACAAAAATGAATTGTGCAATTATTAGCCATAAAGATATATACTTTATCATTAAAATCATACAAGAAAAAAAGAAAAGAAAACAATAAGAACTTAGTGAGTACAACTAAATACAAGTGATTCATATCCAGATGGAAAATTTTCGGAAAAAAAATCATAATCATTGTAATAAGAATATACAACGATAAGAAGGCACTTCGGCTTTGATACTAATAACGTGCAATAATAGATCACCGGTTAAGAACATTTTCTATTTTGTTAAAGTTAAAGGTTTTTTTTTTCTTTCTCTATAATTCTGTTACTCTTACAGGAAGCAAACGAGACATAGTCACTGTTCGATTGCTTTCATTAGTAAGAATTGGTGTATCTTGTAATGAATCATATATATGATTACTAATACTTGGTGATGGTTTGGATGGAATTGGTGGTGGAGGTCTTTTTGGCGGTTTAATATGAATACGTGCTTTATCAGGTTGTATACATTGATTAATAAATGGTATAATTGATGATGATGATGAAATTCTATTTGATTTTGGACGTTGTATTGATGATGATTGTGAAGAAATTTCTTTTGCTGATTTTGAACGTTTGAAAATTAAACCATGAGTTTTTACTGGTGAAGTATCAGGTGGTGAAGTTGATTTAGTACGATAGATTTTTTCTTCAGTTCTATTTGTTTTAGAAGAACGTAAAGAGGAATGAAATGATGATGAACGTGTAAATGATGTTTTTGATGTTTTAAGGCGATCTAATTTAGAAAATAAAGTCAAAATTTTTGTCAATGAAAATCATTCATCATCTGAAAAGTCTGTTAAGGATGATAGAATTTTCCATACGAAAACTATTATGAACCTAAGACATATTTCTGCTGTATGATTGCCATTCCCCGTATCTTTCAAACTGTTGAATGCATTTCATAAGTAAAGTATATATTCTTTTCAGAAACCACAGCAACTCTCTATAAAATGTAAGTATCTAAGGTCAATAAAAAAAAGTCGAATTTCTCCATATGGATTGTAATAGCTATTAATATTCTATTGCCATTTCTTTCTTACACATCGAACCATATTATTTCGATTTTTTTTTATCACGAAATATAGAAAATTTCAATAAAAATATTTTCATAGTATTTACATTAATATAGTTGTTAAAAATTCAATCTTTGTCTTATATTTACCAAATGAATTTGTGAATTTAAGTAACATACCTAATGAATATGACATATATTTTGTTGATGTACTATCAATATCAATAAGTGTTTTATGTGTATCTGTTGAATCAGAAACAATTTGATTAATCGGTAAAGAAATACTTGAAGTAGACTGTTGCATTACTGATGTTGTTGGTGTAATAAAATTAAAATAATGTTGATTAGGTAATAAGTTTACAAGATTATCTATTTCATCATCGATAACTTTAGTCATTTGTTGATAATTTTCATATAATTGTACACCATATAAAATAATTCGAATACCATTTATCCAACGTTGATATTCATCATATGTATTTGCACATAAATAATGTATATATTTATTTGATTTTTTTTGTATATGCGCAGGTTTTAATGCAAAACCATATGAAGTTGGTGAACGTAATGATTCAATCCAATTATTAGCATAATATAATTGTATATTTGAATCAAATTTAAGTAAACAAATAAGATCTTGTTTTGTTGATGAAGATTTTGGTATTTGATAAATACCTGATTGACGTAAAATACATGTGTATTTTTTCCATATTTTTCGATTTTTATCTTTTATATAAAGTATACTTGTTATATTATCAGGTAAAATAATTGTATCTGATGATATATAATCAATTAATATATCATCAATAATTTTATCATTTGTTGAATAAAATTTTTTTGGTTCTTGAAATATCATATATTTATTTTCATATTCTTGAAAACATATTCGATTATGTGTATCACGTGACCAATAAATTAAACCATCATTTATTAAATTTTGATGATCTTCAAATATACGATATATATGTAAATCAGGTAGATCTTCAACAATAGAATAATTTATTGTTGGTTTTAAATGATATTTATGAAAAAGTAATATCAATATTTGATATATAGACATTGTTTCATCAATTAAAATATTTTTTGTTGATTGATCTTCATTATAAATTTTCACGAAAATTTTTTTAATATTTGCTTCATGTATTTTTTCTAATGCTAAACGTATTTGATTTTCTCCATAACTATTTTTTAATGTATCACATGAAATAACCTATTCAAAGAAAACGAGTCTTTTCTATTGTATTCATAATTTTACTTACACTAGACGCATTTGATATTTGTTGACTTATTAATGGTAAATTAATTGAGTCAGTTGATTGAGATAAACCACTATCAGAAAAATGTTCTTCACTTCCACCACCTTGATGATGATTTCTATTTAGATCACTAATTGCTGATGATGATGAACTATTACCAGAATCAACAAATTCAATTTCAATATTATTTAATGTATTAGTTAATGTAGCTAATGTTTGATCAAGTTCATCGAATTGTTCAATGATTGTTGATGAAATAGATTTTTTCTTTGAAGAATTAGTTTCATCATGAAACATTTTTCTATCATCTAATCGTTGTTCAAGTTTATAAAGTTGATCAAGTAATATGTCAAGATCATTTTCTAAAGATAAAAAAAGACGAAGAATATTTTAATTGTTTTTTTTTCCAGTAACCTTTTTCAAGTCATGCATAAGATTTTATTTTATTTATAAATATACTACTATAATTCTTCGTTCTAACGATGTAGCATTAAAAATGAACTCTCCAGAGGAAATGTAAGAAAACAAATTTTAGCTATGAGCATTTCATCAACACATAATCATTTATATTATGCCTTGATGTATATTTCCTTCTTTCTAATGGGTATTACGTGATCTTAAATTAATATTTATTTATTTCTTTTCTTCTTTTTGTTTTTTTTTTACAACAAAAACAGCATAAAAAATTACCTTGATTTATATTACACATTCTTGGTGATATTGTTGTTTTATTTCGAGCTTGTCGTTCTAATGTTGATAATTCTTCATAAGCGTCTCGAATTTCCTATAATATAAATAAAATAAAATTCTATACACATTATATTCAATTGTTTATCTTTTATAAGGTACTAATATACACATGAAATTAGACGACAACTATTTTTTCTCTTCAATCGCCTTATCTTTAGAACGTGTATGATGTCAATAAAACGTTCTAGCCTATTATGTTAATAAGCTTATAACTTCATGGTGTCAGGTGGAAAGTAGACTCATAAATCTATTACACATCCGCTTTACCATATGACACCAGAATAAACGCATTCAATGAATAGGAAAGTAACAGTCTTTCTAATTAATCATAGTTCAAAGAAGTGTCTCTTTGAAGGGAAATGATCGGTCAAGAGGAAGTACGACTAAATGAAAAAAAAAACTAAGTATTTTTACTTCTTTAAAAATATTTAAATCACCAAGACAATTTTTAACATTTAAATTGATTGATAATGCATTTTGTTTTTCATTAACATGCTTATTATTTAACATAAAATTTTCACTAAGTTGATCATCATCATCCATTTCAGATTCTTCACTTATACTAGACATTGAAGATCGACGTAAATACATTCGATGATACATGATTTTTACTTCAATTAAATATCTTAAAATAAAATAAAAAATAAAAATAAAAAGGATCTACCGTTTCTCTGCCTGTCTATTTTACTCATACATGTAAATTGATTGAACAACGTCAGTTGTGATGTATGATGTAATGTTATGCGTGAAAATTCATAACGAAGTAGTAAGTACTACTTCACGCATGACATGTAGAAAGAAAAAAAATTGACCGACCGGTGAACGTTGCTACGTATTTTACGGTCAAATTATGATTTATTTTACTTTTTTTCCCCTTTTATAACGTGTGTTCAACTCACCGCAATAATATTCTTAGTGGATTAAACTGAAGGGTGTGAAAAATTCATTACTAGCTCTCTCAATGTTTATTAGAAGAAAGAAGAAAAAAAGGACAAGCTTGATATAAGAGACGATAAGAATAAACATTCAGACTGCCAGACTCACAAACAGAACTAATGAATAGATAACCTTGTTGATGGCATAAACAAACTTTCCTTCACTCAATCAGCATGCCATCATACTTGTTAGTAATGGTTTAGTCTTAAAATGAACAAAATTAAAAGAATGTCTATAGGTGTTCGAAGTGGTGAGCGATATATATTTTTTTTTTTCTTTTTCTTCTATCTCATACCGAAAGCATGGTACTCTCATGAGTATTGTTCGATAGACTTTCTCTCTCTCTCTCTCTCTCTTTCTCCTTCTCTTGGTCTTTTGTTCGCTTTGTCTATTGTCTGGCTATCTTTTCTCTCATCGACTGCTTAATCATCAATAGTTTGATGAATAGCAACACACATAAAGGTTACGTCGTAGGAGTGTTCGTGTTGAGGGACGTTCAATGTGTGGATATATTTATTCATTTTCTTATCGTCACTTCATTCTCTCTCTTCTTTTTTGTGTCATACAGCCACTTATAAATAACTTATGCAAACACAAGATATACCTTACCACTACTCCACCTTGAACTTCGGCAGTCATTGATGAATATAAAACAGGATGAATCAATGGGCATAACTAAATGTATCTCGAAGATATAGTACAAAAGAAGAAGAAGAAAAAAAAAAGAGAGAGAGAAAAATACATGTTAAACAGTCAAAAGATTAGAATCACTAGATATGTTCACAACATGTCTACGCATATTCGTTCACTTTAGTTAGTAGCCGATTTGATGCGTCTCGGCACACGAATACACATGAACGAAACGACCCTTCATTATCCGATCATTATATACTTCACATAGAGACACACGTACATGCAATGAATATATTCTCATTTAATCAATATGAGATGAAGTGTATATGACACGTACTCACGTTATGTACATATATATATAACTATATCAACCAGATACCATAGTATATTTTTGCTATGATCAATGAATAGTTTTGTACTTATTTAGATATACATATGTAATTATGGGTAGTATTTTCATATGACATAAAAATCACATTTGACATAGAAAAAAAAGTAAATTATTAAAATGAATCATTTTGTTTGATCCTTCTTTTATGTTTTATTGAATATGCTACAGATACTGGATATTATTTCAGGTCTTTTTTTTTATATGATGATAAGTGGATATAAAATGTAAAGAAGAATTACTAGTTAGTTCAAAATAATTTTGCACTTCTACCGACTTAAAAATAAATGAAATGTAATTGGGACATTTTATTTAAGTGTAAATCAACAGATTTTTATCAATGTCACCTTCGATTTGTCAGATATATATATATATGTAAACATGTTGTGATGAACAAATTTTAATTGCCATTCGTCGCGATCTATTCATAGAAATGATACATTGATAAAGATCTTTGAATTTTCTATTTTCTCTCAAAAAGAAGATATATGTTGAACATTTTTGTTATTAAGGACTAAACCTTATATGACTCAAGTGAAATATTATTTTTAGTTAATTATAAGGAAGAATGTTTTTCTTAATAGTAATATGTCCCAATCGAGCTATAATAATTCTGGTATATTCATAATGAAGCACGTTCAAGATCTTTTTTTTCTGAGAAAACTTTATTTTCAGCGTCGTTATATAACATTGAAATAAAAGTCTACAAAATAAATGAAAAAGTACCCGATCACATTGAAGAATATTTGTATTCAGTGTATGACGTTATTTACCTTGAAACTTTTTTTTTCATACTTAATTATATCTGTAAGTTGATTTATTATTAAGTTACATAAATAAAAAGAAATATTAGATTCAAGTAATAAAAATTAAAACGATATCGATGTAAGTACAAAAAGAAAAGAATTTCCTTGTATTATTTATATTTTGTTGATGACTTTTAAAAACGTTGACATAGATAATTTTGTTTATCTTCATGATCATAACCTAATTGTCGATAGAAACTAATTAAATGATCTTTGCATTCTAATGATATTTTATAACAATTACATATAATATTTGCAAATTTTGTTAATAAATCAACAAGTAATTTTCCAAGATATTGTCCACGATATCTATTATCTATAACAACATCTTCAATTCGACCACGTATACCTAATTGACGAATAAATTTTTTTTCACAAACAAGTGTTGTTGTACCAATAATTTGTTTATTTAAATTCATATCTTCAATAACAAGTGTATAATATGTATTTAAACATTGTTTCATATGATAAAAACGTTGTTTAAATTCTTCATATGTTACTTTACCACATTCAGTTAATTGATGAAGTAATTCAATATAACCATGATCATAATCCGAAAGAGATAATGGTCGAATTAAATATCTTCCATTATAGATATTTCCATGAAGTTTATTATCTTGAAGTGAATAATTTTTAAAAATTGGTTGAATTAAATTTAAATCAAAAAGATAATCATTCCCAATATCCTTATTTAATGATGAAAAATGCTCATGATCGTCATGTTTCGTCATGTCGTTTTTACTTTTACTTTCAATAGAAATGAATAATTTATTCGAATGAATTAAAGAAAAAGACAACGCATGTAATCGGCTTGAATGACTATGAATAAATTAGTACGTTTCGATTAGTTGACAAATATGTTGTTTTCAACGCTAGATGTCGGATGAAAATTGACTACGAAATAGTTTTTTTGTAACCATATGAAGCCCCCATGTTTATTGTTTGTATATTGAATAGATAATTGAACATTTAGGAGATCGTTGGTTTCTTATTGTTGATCATTACAAGAACAGATTACATGAATAGAGCGTGAGTCACTCTAGACAGCCAGGCGACAAAATTTATTTCCGAATTTTAGATCGAAATCGTAGCTAACATTGAATCTACTATACTTCTGCATTTAATTATATTTCAAGTTCTGATTGAAATCGGGTATCTGTCATACACTATTTAACATAAAGTAGCAAAACTATATGAACATTTCCAAAAGAACTAAATAGAAAAAAAAACGTCTGTTTCTATTGACGATGTAATTATAACCAACTGTTGTTATACAATTATGTAGTGTTAGTTTTTTTTCTATATCTATGAGCCTTGGGGATTTCTTCAAGCTGTTTACACTTCAATAAGAGGAACAAAATTATGCTTTGCATGAAAAAAAAAATGATTACTATTGAATAATGCAATGTTTTCGTGCGAAGACTTTTACTAAAGTTTTAATGAACTATTTGATAGAGCATGTCATCCAGAGGTGCAAAATCTTCCAAAAATCCAAAAATTTCCCCACACGCAAAACATTTTTTGGAAAATTTCCCCGTTGTATTTTTTTTGGTCAGCAGGTTTTTTCAAAATTTTCCCTCCTGCGCGGGTGCGCATGAGGAAAATTCTGCACCTCTGATGTCATCATCTATCGTTGCTGGATGCGCATGTAAATCCTTGCTGAGAGATATAATGTTCCAAATCTAATCTTTGATGAACCTTTTTCGTTAATGTTAGTGTCCTGTAAGCCCGTCGGGTACCAGGCACCTGACCCGGCAATTAACTTCATGTTGACGTTTCAAAATATTTTTACTTTTTCAAACTGCTAATTGATATAAAAGCATAAGAGAGAAAACTAACTCGCTTATGATTGAGTAACTTATTGTTGTATTTGAGAAGAAGTCAGAGAAGTGAAAAACGATATTGTTTTGCTGAAAGGTTTTATTTTTCATGAAAATTCATCTACAGATGATGAGGAACCATATGACGAAGGAATTGAATACATGAAGGGAAAAATGAATTATCAAAAAGTATTTATCTACAATTATGACGTTTGGCACGAACATTGTGTTTCATTCCAGCGTCATCAGTAACAAGCAAATGTATATTTCACGAAATTGATCGACTTTTTGGATGAGATAGACCTCAAGTAATTCCTGAATCACTTGTTTTTTTTTGTAGAGTTTGAGATAATCTCTTTTTTTTGTTGCTGTTTGTAGAAGTAGCATATTTTTTCATATGAAATAAATATTTGAAAGCCGTACTGTGATTGTGAAAGTATCTGCTCGATTTTGATTAACCATGGATCCGAGTCCAATTGCGAAAAGTCGTATGCATGCAGAATACTAGTTAATGGCTATATTATGATTGCTTATCTTTTCAGTCAATCAAGTTTCAAATCGATAAATAAATAAAAAACTATTACGAATTAAAAGTACAAAAAAGTAACTTACAATTCTTATTTTAAACTGTGAAATGATGTGTTTCGTTGAGTCATGAATAGTTCTAACAGGAAGAATTATTAAACATGATAGTAAGTTAAAAAATATGAAAATACTCGTAAGTTCGTTTTAACAAGTTTCAGTAGATATATTACAGAACATATGAAAAAGAATTTTTCAGAACATTTCAAGAAGAATTTTCTAAAGGTCAAGAAATATTCGACTATAGTATATTTCTGTTGTTTCAATTCTTTGATGTATTTCGAATTAGATATTTGGCTACTTGTTTCATTTCTCATTCATAGATTTTCAAAATTCCAACAAAAAAGATCTTTATGTTGTGTATAGTTTTTAAATGAGTTGAAATATTAATTGAATTTCGGTGTACTAGATAATTAAAGACAATCAGTTAAATGACAAGCAACTATTCTTATAACGAAAAATATAATTGTAGAACTTTGGTCTTGGCAGATCAAATACCAATCCAAAGATATTTAGACTGTTGAGTATGTTTTAAGTTATTCTAGTTTATGGGCAAAACTCCAGTTCATCTGTTTTGTACTCATAGCTCGATTAACAATTTTTCTATAATTGTCTATTAAAATGACTTTTTTTTTTCAGTAATAAAATACCAAAACAGTTCTGTTTTCTACTGGTATTTTGACTTGCAATTATATTTTCTTTCCATTATGAAAACAATCAACTTTTCGGTGAGAATTTTAAGGTTTTACACTTAAACGATAAACATATGACAAGGAATACCTAATGAAAACTTGAAGATCAATACTGTTTTGAACTCAGTTATTATTTTTTACTTAGAACTCTAAATTTGCAAACAATCCATTGATGGCAATCTGCTTCCATCTCTTAAAAAACACAACTAACCAACATGAAATTTATACATGTATATTTCGTGGTTAATATAACTGTATCAACTCTATAACAAAAAATTTGCTGCTTCCTTGTTTCTGAAAAAGATTATAAGAGTACAACTATTTTTTTGTTGTTCTTGCTAGAAGTTTTTGATATTCCCAACTTCAGTTCTTCGGACTGTTACCAGTAATGGAGACTGAACAGGTGCAAGTAATCAAGGGTGGATGCTAATCACACTCACACCCTCATTGTCTGTGCACAAACTGTTTGGATGTGGAATGAATGTGTGAGTAAGGACCTTCTTTTCATACACACACATTCACATCTTCATTAGCATTTGAATAAGGATCACAAATTTGTGATCGATCAACGAAGAGTACTTCCCCGCTTTTCTGACCCAAAATTTTTGATTTTTTTTGCTTTCAGTCTTTTTGTAGCCATTGTGTAGTTTGTCGTATCTATCTGCAGAGTACATCCTGGAATCCGAAAATTGTCCCTAAAAGGTAAGAGCTTCGAGAGGAAATTCAATTTACGCAACGTAAATAGCAGAAATTGTAGATTGTTTCGTGTTTTCCCAAGGGATAAATGTTGAAATTCTAGAATTCTATGTATTTCCTATGATATGTTACAAAATTCTGTGAAATCGTACAGAATTCGTAATTCAGGATTCTCTTGGATTCTACAGAAGTCCTGGATTCCGCTGTTTATCCCTTATGTTTTTTTTTTCAAACAATTTTTCCATGAAAAAAGTGCAAAAACATCTTCTTTTCTCTCGTCTAGTACGTCCAATCGAGTTGAATTGCTTTTTTCATATATACTAGACACTATTTTGGATCGTTATTGTTTTTTTTCTCTCAAAAAATTTTGTTCTATTCATTTTTTGTATCTCTTACAAAAAAAATTCTACTCAAAAATACACATGCGTTTTTTGAGTGTGGGTATGGATGTTACTGTCTGGAAGCTAAAGTTCTATGATCCCAAAAAACTCGACCAAGAGCCGAATCGGAACTACGGTCAAAGTCGGAGAGAAAAACAAATTAAAACCGTTAAATCATCAGATAGATACAAAAATTCGTAAATTTATGTCGATAAATCTTCATTTTTCATTGTTTACATTAAAGATTTCAGTATATTAATATTGAAATATGTTCGTGTCTTTAATTCGAAGAATTCAATAGTGAACATTTCTCAAAATATACTTAAAATTTTTGTATTTATCTGATGATTTAACGGTACCATTTCTGGGTAATTTTTGAAGCTGCAAAACTCTACAGAAAAGGTCGACGCCGACATAACCCTTAAATATTAAATCTTCTTAAATTAATTACTAAGTTTTTCACATTAGTTACTATTGTCCAACTGACTTTTTACTGAGTAAAAACTACTGACTAAGTAAATACAAGCCCTTTCTAATAGCCATAAAACACAATGCGATTTACACGTTATCGATTCTAGACTTATGCAAATTTTCTTTTGGTATAATATCATGGTTTTCATACATTTGCTAAATCTAATAAGAACTCGAAATATTGTAAAAGAAATATGAAGGGATGACTTTAACAATTTTATTTGTTTGCTTTTTTTTTGTTACTCGAACGTCTTCTTTCGTACGTATGAAAATATTCATCAAGTCGTTATTTTACTTTATAGATGCCTTTTATATTCAATTGAAGTGTATATTTATTGATTTCTGTTAATTAACAAAAAAACAAGGAAATTTTTATAAATTCTTCAGTTTATTTTCCATTTCGATCGCTGAGCCACGAAGTTCCTGAACCTTTACGTACACATTTGCCTGATGTTCTATTGCATACTAAACCGCCACAACACGATTTACTCAAAACACCGGAACACTTTTTGCCCATTTTAGCGCAAGTAAATAATCTAAATTAATCAATTTTAAAGAGAAAAAAATTTATTATAAAATGATAACAATACCTTTTTTCACGATGAAGAATATCATCAAAGTCTTGTGCTTGAACTAAAGCACAATTGACAATAATTAAGAGAACCAATAAAAAGGCAAATATTCGAACATTAGCCATACTTTTGTATTTTTTAAATAAATCTACAGAAAAATAATTTACAATAACCGTGATATCGTCAAATGTCAAAGATAATAATAAATTTAATACGTACATAGATGTGAGCACACACTGTTGCAAAATGAGAAGAGCATCATACATACATTTATATATATATATATACGAAGAAAGGTGTAGCCCGTAAAAAAGAAAAAGAACGGAATCGATGCGTCGTATCGATTCATTGAATGAATAAAACACTGCCAATTTGATGTAGTAGCTTTTTGATAACGATAAAATTACTTGATCGCAAAAGACATTCAAGTCAAACAAGCTCAAACAAAAAAACAAATATAAATACTTATCAATTCGACCTTCGATTGAAATCTTATATGTTTTGCCCTAAGGGGTTAATAATTGATGTATACAAGATTGTCACATTTACACTAAACTTTGTATGATCTTAGAGATTTTATAAGGCAATAATGAATAATTGACTAACGAATGGAATAATAATTGTGTTTTTCGTTTGCAAAAGATTACGAACAGAAAGAATTTTTGATTTACCGTTTCGCTTGCTGAGTTTGACCTTTTTTTTTTCTATTTGCAGTTATTTTTGACTATTTACATACATCTTTCATATATGACTATGCATTTATGATTACGAAAAAGTTATACTTTTTAAACAACTTGAAATCTTTATTAAGGTATCATACCCTTCAAAATCGACCTTCGGTCAGATACATTCAAATCGCATGAAATTTTCAGAATATGGTGAAGCTGTATGAAAGAGTTTATGATAAAATTCTGAACTCTACAGTTGGGGCCAATTGAAATTCCCCCTATCGTTTTGTTTTTGTTTTTGTTACTATACTTATTTTATTTTTTAAGAAAGCCCCAAACGCGCTGCATCTTTTGGTATGTTTATGCTGAACACCAAATGTGTTTTTAAGTGTAAAACGTGTATTAGACAAAAAAGTGACATTTTTGTTTTACTAAAATGTGTCCATAATTTTTGTAACATTTTTTATTTCGCATATATCTCAGGTTAGGTAATTGATAAAACCTTGAATTCCTTTCCAAAAGATGCGTTGTGAAAAGCTCTATAAAAGTTGTATGATGGAATGCCTTTTTACCTTTTCTAATGTTTTTTCTTATACTTGAACTAAACAGCTTACATGACTGAGGCACTTACCGCCATACTGAAAATGTTGGAAGATTTTTTTGTTCTACATATATCTCAACTTGAGAAAGCGATATAATGTTGATTTTTTCTTTAAAAGATGTGACGTCGAAAGCTCTACAGAATTTATATCGATCAAATCCTATAGCGAATGAAAAAAGTCCTTGAAGCTCTTTTAGTATGATTCGAAGTGACACTCTCATGTAAGTTGTTCATTTTGAGTATTAGAAAACCATTAGAACAGGAACTCAATCATACAGTTTTTATACAGCTTTTCAAGACGCATCTTTTGGAAAAGAATCCAAGGTTTCGGCATTTACCTAATCCGAGATAGATGCGAAATAAAAACCCTTATACCATTATGGACACACGGTCTTGTAGTAAAAAAATGTCGCATTATCTTCTAATACATTTCTTATACTTCAAACTGTATTTGATGCTCAAGGTAAATATACCAAAAGATGCAGCGCGTTTCGAACTGTCTCGCTATATATGGTAGATTAAAAAATAAAATAAGTATAGTAACAAAAACAAAAAAAAGAACGATAGGGGGAATTTCAATTGGCCCCAACTGGATATCATGATGTTTTCGGAAGATATTCAATAAAAAAGGATCGAAAATAGCTCATTTGGCAAACCAAAATTCTCTGTGAGCTTTCGTTCTATACATTTAAGCTTTTTTTAATTTAACAGAGTATCTCAGACTGCAATATTTCATACGATTTTTTTAAAATTCATACTTGTTATTTGAAGAATAAGAATGATATATTCAACAACACGAAAAACTATTCAAAAATGGTTATCCATTTATGAAAGTGCTTTTTTTTACAATAATAAAAAAAGCTTAATGGTCCCTCATAAAAAGCCGATTTCGATTCAATTTATCAACATCGTGGCTTATGACACATTCGATAGAGCAAACTGTTTACTTCCAAATGCACTATGGTTTATGGACTTTACGATGAAATTTAAGGATACTACATATGTTTTTCTGAACCCACATATTGAAGAAAATAAGATTTTTACGGCAAACTTTGATTTCTAAATTCTATCACACTACTCCGTTGACTTTAAGCAGTGATAAACATTGCTATCATGCATCGCTGAGTATGACAATGGAATACAAGACTCGAACATGAAAATACAGACAGCGAAAAGAAGATGTGGATAAACTAAAGACATGCCTACTTCAACTTCTCTATTTGATGAAACAGTCTAACTCTTCTTTTTTTAAAGTATACTCTGCAATAGCAATCGCATAGCTTGCATTTGGTAATATTATTTTTTATTAATTAAATTGTTTATAAGTTACAGTTGAAACACCCCACCCAGAAAATGCACTCCAAATGTCACTATGTTTAATAACAACCACAATGAAAAGATGATTATTAACTTTCACAGTTTTCTATTCAACAGTAATCACATTTTTATTTCTTTTATATATTTTTATAAAACAGTTAACAAAAACCTTTCTCTCTATTTGGAAATTCGATAGAAAAAAGTTTTCGTAATGACGTCGTAAGCATTGATGTATGTATCTTGTTAAGACAACGAGTCAAGCACTTAATGATGTTCGCTGGATTAAAATTCTTTTTTGTACAGAAACTACTCTTAATTTCAGCGAAATCTTTTAATCTGAGTCTAATAGTCGTTTGCCTATTACGAGATAATTTTTATCGATTATTTGCATTCAACTATTCATATACGCTACCCAATCCTCAGACAATAATCTTATAATAGTCAAGTCATAATTGACTACTACTTTTAGAGCATGGTCCATCGAGTCGGTCTTGAACCCACTTGACTAGCTCTAGAACTTTTATTCATGAGAAATTCATAACAATCAGAATAAGTACTGGTTTAAGAAAAGAAAACAATAATAACTCTGTTAATTGAACTTTCATTTTGATAGATAAAATGTCAGATGTTAATATGGGAACACTTCAAACAATTGGATACCGTTTTTCTTCATAATTCAATAGTGAACAAGTCAATTTTCTGTTGGATTAAGCTAAAACAAGCTCATTTAAATCTTGTTTAAATTTGCAATTTGAATTTTTAAACATAAATCATTCATGATGTCTCTTATACATTGTTGCATATCGATTTTTAATCATAGTTCAATTTCACTTTCCTTGGTAAATCATTGTTTATCGTCTCAATCTTATGATGATTATATTCGATGTCTATTTGATGTTCATCGTGCTCCTATCAATGCATTCAAGCCATGATTTCAAACTTTTGCTATAATACTTTGTGATTATCATGATCGCATTCCTGATGATATTAGTTTAATTATTCATGATTGACAAAAAAAATTCATAAAAAAGATATATAGAGCAATATGACCTTCATCTTCTTCTTTCATCCGATCAAGTAAATCATGAACAAAGATTGAACTTTTTCTGTCCTCTATCAAATATTCATTTTGTAATAATTGCTTTTTCTTTTTATCCTTGTGAGAATAATCCTCCATGCCCTTGATGCACAATAACCTATAATCGCTTATGTAATGAAGAGCTATATGAAAAAAAAACTAATGGCGAAAAATTTGCAGATGTAAAAGCCAATAATCATATCAATTTTTCTGAAAAAATTTTTTTTTATCTAAAATTTCGAATCATTCAAAATCAAGTTTATATATTATTAAAACTTGTCGAACATTTGGTTTGTTTTTATTTTTTCGAATAATCTGAAGCTTTGATTATATACTTCATCATTAAATGCCTTTTGATCATCTACGTTCGTCAGTTTCGTTTCAGCGATCATTTCTTACGTTCAATCTTTCTGAATATTTACCATATGTATTCATACATATAATCTATGAATCAACAGATATATATTATCGTTGACACGTTTATTGATGTAATGATGAATTTAATTTCTAATCCAACTTATCATGATGTAAATTTCCTCTTAATAATAAAAAAAAGTCCAAATAAAACAAAATGACTTTACCACATCAGACTCAAACATACAATGAAAATCGGCTGGACAGACATTATGATGAACGGGAGTTTTTTCTTAACTTTGATTATTTTGTATAACATAAAGCGGACGTTTCTTATTCTAAATCATTTATTTGTTTTTACCAAATAATACCTACGATATCTATGAAACTAATATCCTCGATAAATTTATTTAATTATACAGAGGACATTCAATATTAGGAAAAAATTGTCGAAACCTATGAAAATAAACATTATTTCTTTTTTTCTTTTCAATTTTCCAATCCGACGGAAGTTCATCAACAATTAATAAACGTAATCGTTTTCCAAATTCGTTTAATACATGTCCACGACGAAAATATGATGTTGTTCGTGCTATAAGAACATAATCGCAATCTAATGTATCACAATTAGGTAAACAAAGTAAAAATTCTTTAATTATTTCAGGATTTTGTAATGAACTTGATTTAATAATTAAACGACGAACATTTGGTAAATTAAACCATGTTGATAATGATGGTACAAATATCATTAAATTAAATTTCCATTTTAATGTTAATGTTGTTAAACGTGTAAATTCATTACGAAGATAAATTAAAAATTCATTTGTATATGGCATACGATCACATAAATCAATATCATGTACAAAACACCAATTACGATTTGATTTTCTTGTTTGTTGACCGTTCAATATTGTTTGATCAACATCAAGATGATGAAATGGAAATGGTAATGTATATATATGATAATAGGAATGAAAACCTATTGGTGAAAAACGTAACCAAAATGGTGTTTCAAATGATTGTGATAAATCATTTGACATTAATGATAATAAAGATTTGAATTCAAATTGTAAATTAATTAAATTTGGTAAATATATAAATATATCATCACGTAGACGATTACCATTAATAATACCTGACTGTATATCAAAAACTAATGAAAAACGTAATTTTTCAATAGGTGTTAATGTTTTAAATATTTTTTTAATTATTTCGTAAGAAACTGAATGTAAACATATAAATAAAAGATGTTTTAAATGTGGAGATGATTTTTTTATTGTTAATGGGCTTTGAAGATTAATAGTTGTGTCTAAGACACGTATACAAAGTGAATGAAGTTGACGAGCACTACCCAATATGGAACAGAAATCATTCATTGAACGAACAGTTAACTATAACGAAAAAGAAATTAGCTTATTAAGATTTCTAATAAGAATCTAAATATCTATGATCAGTTTCAATCAAATAGGTTTATATTATCTTTAGCTTAATCGTCAAACTGTAGTCAAATTTTCATTGATATCTACGATAATTTTAATAGGTACTTTTAGAGAAGAACTTCTTGAGCTTATATCATATGATGGCTAAACGCTTTCGATACGAGTGACATAAGTTTATTTAATTGTTTGAACGTACTGTATGACACTTCGTTTGTACAGCTCATTTGTATGAATTCTCAGAAATGATGTTTTAATCAAAGTTATATTATTATTATTGAAACGTATAGGTATAAGGAATCCTCTGGTTAAAACGGACTCAGCATCTTCATCAGATATAAAATCGGTTAGTATTTTTGTTTTCAAACCGAATCGAGTTGATACTTATCATACTGAACAAACTTAGAAGAGCAAAGTATGATTAATTTTTCTTTACTATACGATGTATCTATCTCAAGTTCAAATCATGACTTAAGTAACTAATGATGTTCTCTATCAGATGCATTCTACAGCATAGTTTTATAGATAGGCTAAGAGATAAAATCTTTCAAAAATCGGAAACGGCATTTTTCCGATTTAAGAATTTGTACGTGACTTTTTAGTAGTCGTATGTTAAAGAGCACAAAATGAAGAAACGCGTGGACCTCTCACTTTGGCTCTCTTTAAGATGTTGTCATTTAAAACTTGCTCTCCAAACGTCTGCTTGAACCTGTAAATTCCGATCCTGATTTTTTAGGACCTTTTCTCTTAATTGGCCTGTGAACATGTAGTGTAGGACAGTTTGATCTAACATATTCTATCATGTAATATATCCCGACCCCAATTATTATTGATTTTTTTGTCCTTAGATATTACTAAACACTCTAATGAAAAATCTAAAAGGATTTAAATTCCTATTGACACTTGGCGGAGTTATGGAATCTTTACTGTGCATATTTTTCGAAGTTTATCTTGAGAGCTTATGTACTTTATATTCTATTTAGCAGTTTCAGAGCTTGAAGACTTTATGTTCGAAACAAGCACTTCTCCACATATTCTTCTACTACTCACTAAGCTTCGAAGTGTCTACTTTTGAGAAGTTCTTATCTCAACGATACGAAGTCTTGAAACTCTTTAATATAAACTACTGTATATATGATTGTCATATGCAGACAGTTTCAAGATAAAATTCAAAGAGACATATTTTTCGAAAAAGTGGAGTCCTCAAAGCATCTATGGCAAATCAACATATTAAAGGCTTCAAAACTCTGAAAAGTGTAAATAACAACTTAAACCTTTTTTTGTGTTTTCAGTTGAATACTTTGTAGTATTCATAGGTGAAAAATCATTGAAAGCGGAAGGCAGCATGTTGAGAAGTTCTTTCGTCAGTTTATTTTAAATGTAATTCGATTATCTTTTACAATATTTAACTTACTGTCAGACTAGTAAACAAACATTGTTCGAAATTAATATCTTGTAGTGAAATAGAAAAGCATGGTGGTGTTGCAAATGTTAATGATTGCAGTTGTATTTTATTTGTTTGAAAAAATTTTTGTTTAACTTGTTCTTCAAATGATATTCGATCACAACAACAAACATCACTTCTTATATAAAGTTGTTTAAGTTTTGTAAAAAATGAAAAATATTTCAATATTATGGATAATTCATCGGTTTTTCGTATAATTATTGATAAAGATTGTAATCGAGGAAATATTTTTTCATTGAATATTAATTTATTTAACATATTACATTCAAGTTTGAAATTTTCAACATTTAATTTATTAATATGATACGATTCAAATATTAATGAATAATATAAATTGAATATTGGTAAAGGAGCATTTGCCAGATTAATCGATGTTAAAAACGATCGAAATTCTTCGATAAGACGTGCATAACGACGTTTAAGAAAATAAAATGCATAAACAATATCATATGTCTTAAGATAGCTAAACACAATTAGAACGATTTCATTTGGAAGTGATTCCATTGATGAAATGTCCTTTACCTGTTTTTTCTTCATTGTCAACGAAATATATAACACTGAACGTATATCATCCTCGACTATATTACGTAATGAAAAAAATAAATATTCGTCTGAGAGAGATGCATCAATGAAGGAGACGAATGAATTTAGTCTTTTTTTTTTTTTTTTTTAAGTGAGAAAAAAATCTCTGTACAATACACACATATAGCGGTCATCGCTTAGAACAGTTAGAAAGAATTCATATAATATATAGAAAGAAAAACATGTGAAATTAATTCTGAATGTAAAAAAAGAAAAATTCAAACAGAATACATGCTTTTCAGTAAAATATTGTTGTTACAATAGACTTGAGATTTAAATCTTATCAACTCGATTATTTCCGAATTTATTGATAATTGAATACCCACAAAAACGTGATAGTTAAGATATGAAATAATTAGATAGGAGCAGTAGTTTTTGTTTCTAGTTGCGGTCTAAAAAATATTAGTCCTAACTTTGGTCTCAATGAGAGGATTGATCTCGGAACCAAAACCATCTTGCCTATATCTATTTAGATTACATAAGTGATTCCGGCTTCGTTGGGACTCTCTGACCGATGTCTAGAAATACAATAGTACTCAACGATTTACAATCTATTTTCTTAGTAATTTAAGAAGTTTTATATAGTTTTTGAAGATATTACTAATCAAGAAGCTTTAGATAATTTCCCGGAAAAAAGTCGCGTTTTCTCAATATTTCTCTGCTATAAATCATTTAATAGAAATTATAGAATTTTTCAAGGTCAATTTGATATCTATTAGAATTATTCAAGTTCTTCCGGAATATATTTTTCTAAATCGTTCAAGCGAAATATAATCTAAATGAGAAAAATAATTTAATCTTTTTTGCCGATGATATTTTCAATAAAGTCATGATGAATAGTGGAAATGTAATGTGATCGTCATCTTATATATACATATATATATATATATTTTTTGGTTCTTTACACAAAAATTACTATAGCCTCTAGGCATGAATAAAATTATTTATATTTGATTTGAAAAACAAGTTAATAATTAATTTAAATTATTTCGCAAAATTAGTTTAGCTTATTGACTATGTTGAGATTAAATGCATTTGATATTCGATCGAAATGCGTATATTATTTTGTTGAAATATATTTGCATATATTAGCTTCTTTTGTCTATTACAATTCTATTGTCGTTTTATTACTTGAGATTATTTCAATCTCAATGATTTATATTACTTCTTTGTCTTTTCCCTATACGCTCATCAAATTGCAATTGAATTAAGAGACTGATATACTTAAAAAATTACGAATCGACACATTTCCGGACTTGTATATATCTTGTTCTTATTCAAGAACAAGACGTCAACTATAATTGAGGATCGTTTATGTTAAAGCATATTATTGTTGAACAGGATGACATATAAAACCGTCTATCATCATTAATAATTATATGTTTGTCACTGTAAGAACAAAAAAGACGATACGATTCTTCTTGCATACATAAAAAAAGAGATTGATGAAATTGATTGTATTTCGATACGATTCTCTTCTATTCTGTCTCTTGTATATATATATATATCTTTATATTTTTCTCTTATAAAAAAGTCTTTAGAAAAGGATAGAAAAAACTAAGGACAGTAAATAGCTTCACACAAAGCAAGTGATCGTTTTTGTAGACAAAGGAAGAAAGAAGAAAAGAAAGCAGAATTTTTTTTGTTCACATTATTTCCAGATTTTGTCGATGAGTTACCATGATGCATAAATCATATGTTGTATCTACTGGTCAAGTTTATCATAGTAAAGGTCGAAGATTTTTATGGGCTGTACTAATTCTTATCGGTGTTATTATTTTTTTGGCTAGTTTATTGGTTATTGTTGTTATTAATAGAACATTGAAATCAGGTAAATTGTTGTTTGTTGTTTTCTTAAAATAAATATATATATATATGAGTGGCAAATTGTTTTTAGGAATACAACAGAAACCTTCAACAACATTCGATAGTAATTTTACAGATTTTAATTATAGTAAGGATTTGCATTTTAATTACTCAGTGTTTTATAATAAATGCTCAGTACAGTCTTTGATTACACGCTCAATAGGTTTTTCTCAGTGAAAAATTAGTTATAGTATAGTAAATAGTTTAAAAAGACTCAGCATTTAAGGGTGTCGCTATGAATGTAGCTTATGGCTGTGGGTGTATTAGTATGGCGTAGTTGTAAGTGTATGAGTTGGTGTTGGCCTTCTTGACAATAGCACTTATACCCCAAACTCAATTCAACACCCACATCCACACCCTGCACTTCAACTCTACACTCAATTCAAAACTTATAGTCACATCTCTAACTACAAATTATTATTTGACTGAATAAACATAATAGTTACCGAACAGTAAATTTTATAATGATCATCTATATAACGGGTGGGCCAGAATAAATTATACTGTTTGTATTTTGAATATTTTCTCTTTATTCTTCATATGATTCAAACACTTTTTTTATCAAAAGATAGCGCTTGAAATTCTCTACTAAAATGGAAGTGATTGAACTGCAAAATTATTCTAGATATATTTGAAAAAGGATGAAAAGTGAAGATATACAAAAAACTGTAAAAATTAACCGATTGGGCATAATGAATGGCAGTGTTTTGCATCCAATTTTTTCATCACTTACTTCGCTCAATTAAAAAACAAAATATACCAAAAGATGCAGTATGAAAAGCTCTTCAATTTTTACACGACCGATTATTTTATAGTTGTAAATTTTTTTTTCAAAACGAACAAAGTTTTGAGTGACCAAATTTCGACCGTGCAAAAACGGCATATTCTTTTGGTACAAGCTGAATTCGTTTTTTTTTATTTCATCTTTTCATAATTGTTCTTTGAAAATTGTAGAGCTTTTCACGCTGCATCTTGTGGTGTATTTTATTCTTTTGAAAAAAAAACATATCAAGCAATGATACGATGAAATTAAAAAAATGAACTCAGCTTGTATCAAAAAAACATTCCATTTTCGCACGGTCAAAATCTGATCACTCAAAATTTCGTCCATTTTGAAAACAAAAAATGCAACTATAAAATAATCGGTCGTGTGTAAATTGAAGAGTTTTTCACGCTGCATCTTTTGGTATATTTTGTTTTTCTAATAGGGCGAAATGATATAAATGGGACCCAAAGTGCGGCCGTTCGTTGTGCCCAGCCGGTTAATTTTTCCAGGTTTTTTCATGTTTTTATTTTTTATCTTTTTCCGTATATATCTAGAATAGTTTTTGGGTTCAATCATTTCCATTTTTGTAGAGAATTTCAAGCGCTATCTTTTGATAAAAAAAGTGTTTGAATCATATGAAGAATAAAGAGAAAATATTCAAAATACAAACAGTATAATTTATTCTGGCCCACCCGTTATAATACTGAATATTGAATTTGTTCTCAGTAGTACGTATTGAATTGACTGCTATTAACTTGTTTATTTTTATTATTCGATTAGATCGATCTGAACGAGGTAAGATAATAATTATGAATTTTTTTGACAAGTTTTTGTTTTTATTAGCATGTTTACATGGACATAATGAATGTAAATTTGGTGCAATTTGCACTAAACAAAATGAATGTCAATGTTTATTTAATTGTACTGATGCTGATGAACGTATTCAAGACGAAATAACTGGAAAATGGTATTTAAATAAATGTCGATTTGATGAATCTAAATGCAATTCTTACTATGAAAAGAGTAAATGTTACAATAAATTATATTATTTTTTAAGAGTAAATAAATATTTCTATCTATTTCAAAGATTTTAAATGTTCATCAATACATTGTTCTTATGGATCAAAATGTTTAATAAATGATCATGATTTTCCTATATGTTATTGTCCAAGTAATTGTAATGAATATGTTCGTACAATATCATTCAATGGACCAGTTTGTGGTAGTGATCATCAAACTTATGAAACGATTTGTGAATTAAATAAAAGAGCATGTGAAATACAAGAAAATTTATACGCTGCACATTTAGGAAAATGTCGTATGTTGAGTTTTTCTTTTCTTTTGTAAATGAAATAATTGATAAATCGATTAAATCTTGTTAAGAACATTGTCAAAATTCAAGTTGTATTTTAAATCATCAAAAATGTGATCCTTATATTGATTGTTCATATAATTATCAACCATTTTGTGCAAATAATCTTCATAATTATTCGAATGAATGTGAAATGCATAAATATGCTTGTCAATCAAATGTAAATTTAACAAAACTTCATGATGAAACATGTACATCAGATGAACAACAACAATTACGTGAAGGTAAATTATTTAACATGAACTGTTTTGAAAATCAATACGATAATTTTTTTTTTTTAGCTTGTAAAACATTTATTTGTTTAAATGGAAAAACATGTATGATCGAAAATGGTATTGGAGTATGCCGATGTTTATTTAATTGTTCATCAGACAAGAATCAAGTACAAATAATAATAATAATAATTTTTTGATTTTTTTTTCATAAAGATATGTGCTTCAAATGGTATTATATATCGAAATTTATGTGAAATGGAACGTGATGGTTGCATTCGTGGAGAAAATTTTGTACCAGTTGATACTTCTAATTGTAAATTATTTGATCATTTTTTATTAGAAATTGTTTTCTTTAACGAAGGTATGCCAGCATGTGATACAACTATATGTCCATATGGTCAATGTAAACAACAATCTAATAGTCAAATTGAATGTCAATGTATACCATGTTCAACTAACTATTCTTATGAAGATTTAATATGTGGAGATAATGGTATTACATATCCGTAAGTTGTTTTATATTAGAGATGGGATAGGTTCATGTCCATTACAAATCAAACCAAGTCGAGCCAATGATTCCATTGGCTAGCTCTATCTGATTACATCTAGAAAAATCCAATACCGAATCTGATGATCTGGACTCTTGCTTCGAAATTTTCGGCAGAAACTTGCCAGAATCATTGATCTCGGCGTTCTTTGTCATTGTTCATCACTACAATTGAGTAGATGCAAACTCTTTATAAGTTTTACGCAAATGAGAAATTTTTGTTTAAGGAGTACAGTTAACATTTTTATAGAGCAACACATTGTGTATTATCAAAGCTATTAGTGAAGTCGCGACAATCAGTACTCTTTTATCCCGTGAGGCAAAAATAGCGCTGATTGTTAGAACCTCACCGAAATGCTCTGTTTTGTATCAAACCGATGCAAAAGTCCTGTTTCAACAATATTTTTAATTAATAGGTTATTGTAATACTACCAATCATGTTGAAGTTAATAAAATGATTTGAAATACAAACTGAGAATATGTTTTAAAAATTTATTTTCAAACAAAAAATCAAACACTAAAAGAAATGCACATGTATGACATTATTTAAACCTTATCTAATAATAATTTTAGCACTTCTCATTTTTCTGAAACCGAATCGAAAAAGTTTCGAACTGATCCCCATCTATATTTTATGTCTTATTTTATTGTTATAATATTAATCAATATTTATATTAGATCAAGGTGTTTCCTTGAATATGATGCTTGTACAAGACAAACAAACATAACACCAAATCATATGGGACAATGTAATAATTGTCAAAATGTTGAATGTCCGTTTAATGGACAATGTCAATCAGAACAAGGAAGTTATTCATGTATATGTCCATCAAGAAATAGTTGTCCAATTGTTCCAGTACGTTAATTATTTTATTTTGTATTCTATTGTACTAAAAATCTGTTGACTAAGTTTTAAATTTTCTCTGGTTATGAGCAAAACATAAGTGTAAAAGATTGAGATCACTGATAAGATGTTCATAGAAAACTATCCGAATGTCCATAATTTCAGACAAGAGTTGTTAAACTTTTTCGTCCAAAACTATTATCTGATCACTTCTCATGTACCTAACACGACNTTACAAATTCTGAAGTCACTATTCCATTTTCTCACTTAATTTATTTGGATCTTAAAGAATTCTCATATCCATTAAGATCAACTTTTCCATCCTCGTTTCTGTACGCTTGAAATAATTTATTCTACAATTCATCAGGTTCCGTCAGGATCCACTAGGATCCATTAGGATCCATCAGGATCCACCAGGATCCAATAGGATCCACCAGGATCCAATAGGATCCAGTAGGATCCACCAGGATCCAGTAGGATCCACCAGGATCCAGTAGGATCCACCAGGATCCACCAGGATCCAGTAGGATCCACAGGATCCACCAGGATCCGAGGATCCAGGATCCGCTTTTTTCCCCTTGTAAACAATAGTGCATCAATTTTTCAAGATCATTTCATGTCTAGAAGCACAATGTCTCAGCGTAGTATTTACACATCACGTGATCAGTGGTTTTATTACTCACAGGAGAACTATTCGAGTTGATACCCACTATTTGAGCTTATATTGGATGCACAAGAATGTCTCAATAAAAGTAGAAAAATTCTAAAACGGTTCGTGTCATGGGCTTTTGGACCGGAATTATGACCGTTTTACTGAGTTCTCGATTCCTATTGAGGTATTTACCGAAACATTAAATAATAGAATTTCGACCTGAAATTTTGCCCATAGATACATTGAATGACTTTGAGAACATCCTGAAAGTTTCAGTGGAAAACAATGTTCTTCTGTCGAGATATTGAATTTCGAAAAAAATTGAGTTAGCTAGAAAAGTCACTGTCTCGACGAAGGAACATTCTTATCAGCAGAAACTTTCACAATATTTCCAGAGTTATCAGACCTATCTTTGGGCATGTTATTTGCTTTTTTCGTAAATACCTAAAACTGGATCGAAAATATCATTAAAACGGTCAAAGCTCAGCTCCAGAGATCCATGGACATGAATCCATTTAACAGTTTTCAAGTCTTCTTGAGACTTCCTTGTGAATCCAATATGAGCTCAAACGGAGTATATTAGTTCGGGTAGTTTCTTCATCAATACTATATATCAGCAGGACCAGCCCTTTTTTGCTCCTTGTCTGCCGGGACTAAAACAGATTCCATCTTGCCTATATCTATTTAGAACACATCAGTCGTAAGAATATAACAATCGATGTAAGTTTTAAACGACCATAAAAGATATTGTTCGTAATGAAAAGTGTTCGTCCTTGTATCGATTCCACGATCGAGACCATATTGCCCATATCTACTCAGCAGTCTATTGACCTTGATCTTCAGATAAACGAATTAGATAAACATGAAATATTAATTCTTCGAAATTGACTTATTTCTGATACAATTAAAATATATTATATATCATGTTCCAATGATTTCTCTCAGGTAAACATTACGTAGGATTTAGACTTTTCGTTGACATATTTCAGATGTTGAATAAGAAGTTTAAAAATCTGTGTCATTTAGATTTCGTCGTCGTATTATAATGAAACTTGATGATAATCATCGTTATCAAACAGTATCATTAAGTAAACAAACAGAATTTCATCCAAATCCATCCTATATTTATATTGGTGGTTATCAACAATTATGTAGTTATGATGAACATCATTGTCGATCATATAGTGGATGTTTAAAAAATGTTACTATTGATAATAATTATCTTGATTTAATTAATGATGAACTAAATCGATATCGTATATTAAAACAATGTCATGATTTTAATAAATAAAATTACATTTGATATTGAATATTTAAAAAGAAGAAGAAATGATGAATTAATTTAATCATATCAACTTAATTTGATTTGAATATTTAATAAATCTGATGATAAATATTTTTTATATGAATAATAGTTTTATTTTGCAGTTTTATTATTTTATTATTATGTATAATTAGTTTAATAAGAGTTGGCAATGATATATTTATGTAATAGGAAACTGAATATTTTATTGTAAATCATTTTTGTTAATTCAATTTTTTGAAAATACATCTCTATTATTATATGAATCATAAAATAAACTACTTATCTAATTAAAATAAATTCCGTGTTTTGTATATGTAGAAGTAATACAGAAAGAAAACGAATGATAAATGAAATTAAGGTTTCAAATATAAGGTGTGTCATAATTTCTCAACTTTTAACAAAAATTAGTTTGATTGCGAACAAAAAATGATCTCTAACTGAATGCATCTATATCAGTTTTGAGTACTTGTGTTAGTGTTCCAAATAGTGTCCTGAAGCCGGGTCGGATACCCGACCCGACAATGAATGAGATCTCGACATTTCAAAATATTTTTACTTTTTCAAACTATTAATGTATATAAAACCGTCGAAGTGAAAACCAGTTCGATCTTAGTTTGAGCAATTTATTGTAAACCCCTCCCCGTAATAGAAGCCCCTCCCATATTAGAAGCCCTCCCCCTATTAGAAGCCCCCTTTAAAGGATCTATCCAGCAAAATCTTCAATTTTTCCCAGCAAAATCCGGCCAAAGTTTGCAAGACCTAATAGAAGCCCCCCGGGGCTTCTAATATGGGAGGGGGTTTAGTTGAGAACAGGTAAGAGAAATGGAAAAAAATATTGTTTCAATAATAAAGAAATTCATTTTTAATGGAAATTCATCTACAGCTGATGATAAACCATATGACGACGTAATTGAATGTATAGAGAAGGAAATGAATTATCAAAAAAGGTGAACATGTATTATCATAATGGGCAAAAGCATTTATGTATGAAAAAAATTTAAATCTGTATTCACTGAGTAAATAAAAGCATCATGAAAGGTTTTTCTCGTCGTCATCACATATTTCAGACTTTCAAAACTTTAATTATCACAGAAAGTTTTTTCGATCTCTTAGAAACACTATATTTCACTTTATTGAACTAAGATAATCGAAAATAATTTTCGAAAAAATCTTTCTAAGTATCGGATATAGTAACATCTTGAAATAGCATTTTGTAAAGATTCTTCGCGACATCTCTACATCTTTTGTGGCATTCTCTATTTTCGTTCAATTGACATGCATGAAATGTAAATTATTGTAAAAAGTGAAATGTTTTAAGTCAACACTCATCAAGTTTATTATTCCCTATTTGGTTGAAGATTTGCAACAATAGTTCAATAACTTTTTTTTCTATATATTAATCATTAATGAATATTCAAAGACTAAAAGTAGATTCACCAAATTTATTTTATGAATAAATTTTTCTTCGCTGCTACTGTACTGATATATCAGAGATAATTGATTGAAAAATTCTGAAAATTGGTAGAAAAATCATTTTGATGTAAACCTTGATATAGATAATGCTTTAAGTCAAAGTTCGAAAGATTGATTATACTGGGAAAATGATATCCTACCGAAAACTTATAGTAGAAAGTCGGTATCTGAGCCAAATCAAAACTTTTACCTATATCCGATTACATTTTTTTCCTAATTTTATTAGTTTTCAGAGGTAATTTTCGTTTCGTATCTCTTCGATAATCTGAATTTTTTTTCAAATCATCAACACACATTTTTTTATCTGCCTTATGGGTGAATAAAAATACAAGTAATCTTTTTTAAGCAACAATCATGATTATTATCTTATCCAAAGATTGACTCAGGTTATTTAATCCGGTGGGAAGTACAACATTGTATGGTCCTTCCTTTCTTTCTCGACATACGCATTGAAATTTCATATTTGACTTCGAGAATAGAAAGTCAGAAAATATTTGCTTAAACACAACGATAAAATCACATGATCGTGCCAATACTATGCATATTTTTTGACCTTCAATCACACATTTTATTTTTTTCTTAAAGGAATCCTCTCAGAAAAGATTCAAATTTTCCTGTATATTGTTTTATTTCCAAGTTTCAAGACAATTTGAACGTTTATCAAATATATGTTGCTGTGTGTTAATAGAGTTCTTTTAGTAGTGAGTTTCATAACGACTAATTTTCATTTTTATATTGATTTTAAATCAGCTGATTCCAGTAATGTGTAAATATTATTTCGAACAAAAAAAAGCTTTTCTTAATAAGCCGTAAAAGAAAAACAATTCTTTTTCAATCGACATTCCAAGTTTGGTATCACTTTTTGCAGTCGAATGAAACTCAAATATCACCAGATTTTATAATGGTTATGCTTATTAGAATATTATCATTTACGAACACATGCGTGTCATATAATGCGCCAACTATTGGTTGCTATATACTTTAGTTGTCATTGTGTTTATGGCATAGAAATAAAAAATAGCAAAAAAATAATATTAACTGATAAGAGATCTAACTATATAAATTATTGCGACGTACATTTTTATTAAAGTGAAGCCAACCAACAAATTGACTTTTTTTTATCTTTCAACGACCTAACATATGGCTGCTTGGAATAGTATGTAATAAAAAATAGCTATTATTCGAAAAACTATGTAAAAAAAAAACCTATTCTTTTAGGTGAACTTTTTGATTGCTTCGACGATTGTGGCATTTGTCTTTATGGTTATTGCTGTACACCATGTCTATTTGGAGAAAATGCTGAAAAAATTGATGGCAGCAGTTGTTGCGGCTCATGCTGTTTATGGTACCTACTAGCAGGCTTTAGTTTATGTTGTCTAGTACACATGGGCAAACGGCAAGCTTTACGTACTCGTTTTGGTCTTGAAGAAGATTGTAATGATTGTTTAGCAACAACATTTTGTGCTCCATGTGCAATTTGCCAAGAAGCACGTGAACTTAAATATCGTTCAGCTATTCCTGCAGGTATATGAACATATAAAAACTCTATATATATTATTGAATAGATTCCCCATGGTTTTAGCATCAGCACCAGTTGTAACACAGCCAATGGGTATGATTACGAGTTCACCATATGGGCAACCAGGAAATATGCAACCTACACATGAACAACCTGGAATGATGAAACAAGAACAATATTAAATGACTAAATTGAATGAATCTTTTTTTCGTTTACTAATTATTTTATCTAATCGTAATCTTGTTTTGTCATTCCATGTTCTGAACTATTTGAAAAGTATATAATTCTGTATGTTATTACAAAAAAGAAAAATAATTATTATCAATGTGTCATATCTATCTAAATATTACATATTAGAATCCATTCGTGGACTTTCATTCTTTGATGCATATAAAAATTCATAATCTACTCTAATATAAAATTCTGATGAATTTTCTGTTACTTCTTCAATTACTTACTCTTGTTTTGATAATCGATGATTACTTATTGTTGAGCATTACTTGATGTCTAACCATCCAAGTATGACTATTGGTTACTCTTTTGGCCTACGGGGCAAAAATAATTGTCAAAAGATTTACTCACAGTTTTCCAATTAACTATAAATCTACAAATTATATTGAAGATGATTTCTTTAGATGCTGGTCTCTTCTAGTATGTACAGTATTGTGTTTGAGTTCTTTTGAAATCGTACCTATTTTGCAAACAAGTCATTCATTGAAACTTCGTGTTGTCCATTTATATGCAGACACTCAGTTCCAAAACTACTCTAAACTGTTTTGTTTAGACTCAGTTGAAGTAGGTTTTATTCAATAAATCAATGAGTTGTAAAATTAGCATAATTGACATTGACTTTATAACTTTTTATTTTGGCCTTTGATAAATGGAAATCATTTTTTTCGACATAATCTACTCAATAAAACTTACATACACTTAATAAAATACATCAACCTTTGATACAGTTTTTGATGATACTATTCATTGACTTTTTTTGTTCATTATTTTAGTAGAAGAATGAATGCTTTCTTAACAAAAATTTTGTTTGTATTATATATATATTTTTTTGTTACATTTTATTTAATCAATAATGCAAATTTGATGTTAATTTTAATTTAATGCTAATACCAAAGGATTCAATTATTTTTTTAGCACTAATAGAAAAAACATTAAGCTTTCTCTTAATTCTAATACAAAAGTATTAGCATTTTTCTAATACTAGCGCTAAGCTAGCACCCCTAGATTTTATAGTTGAAACGCGTCCTCTGAATTTTTATCATTTCGAAAATGTTCGTATTTCCAAATATTTATCTAACAATTTGATTCATTTAAAAACGTTATACTAGAAAAACTTCTTTGTATTGTCAGATACATCTTCAATCTATAGCTTCTTGTCCCCTAATGATAATATATCTACGATACATGCCATAGAAATCAGCAAAACTAGTGTTACTGTTCGTTTCTTCGATTCAACTACCATATTAGCCTGCTATACACTTTGATTTTATCCTCAGTAAGCTACCAAACACTCATTTCTTTCAATGAATTTTGTCATGTACTGCTGAGTATTGCCTAAACTTGAAATTCAATGAGTTCCGACATCTAGATCTGTCTGTCTGATCTATTCCATCCTGACCCTTTTGGATCAAAAATAGCATCATCCTACTGATTACCTCCTTCAATAACATTCTTTTGCTACATGAAAAACAAAAAACCATCATATTTAGATCAAACTGCTAGAACCTACTATGTTCCAGAATGATCTAAGTACTAATGAAGGAGCCGCCAAAGCTTTCATTCAAAACTCACACTCATTTATTTTCTTCCAAAATTGATATAAGTTCCAAAAAATATCAAATTCAATGGTACTTACTTAACGATAATCACTTAATTCTCAATTTTCAACCAAAGTTTTAAATAAAAAACTTGCAATTAATACTAACTATCAAGGAATTCGTCAACACAGTATTTTAACCGTCCTACCATATTCTGATAACCTTCTTTTCCAAAATATCGCGAGATAGATGAAGCTATATGCTTGTTTCTCCATTAGTTCACGTTCTAAATCGGTTCTTCAATGAGCTTCCATTCTCGCTCTCACTAAAGAAGTAATGGGTCCTCCGCATAGTCATTGAAGACTTATAAGTGCCCTTTCTAAGTAGCCTACGAAAAGTCATAGACACCTCTCTGGATATCCCTTGAAGATCTATAAGTACCCTCTCTGGATAGGCCTTGACAAGTCATAAGTTCCCTCTTGGATAACCTTTGATGAGTCATAAGAGAGAGCCCGCCAGAGGACCACCTTACTCTATTAGAGAGGCTCCGGAAAAAAAAATTCGATTTTATTATTTTAAATGATAGATCTAGTCAAACCATTGTTAAATCCAAAATATCAAATCATTTGGTTGTTCCTATGAAAAATGGTAGCAAAAACAAGTTTAAAGAGTCGATTTTGACCCTAAAACATTTGTGACAGAGGGTGTGCTCAGTATTTTGAGATTTTCTCAAGGACGGCTTGGTCGTTTGAGCTCGGAAACATCTCATTTGATAGAAAACTGCTCGGCCTACAATTCTATCTTATTTTAGAAACTAATATATTGGATAAAAAATTCTCTGTTTATCAAAAACTCGAGATATGACCTCTTGCCGAAATGACAGTATTTTGGGATTTTCTCGAGCTATGTATGAGATGCTGGAATGATTTTTTTACCGAACATAGATCTCAGTAAGATACATCTTCTGATATAAAGTTGTCCAAGAAAAAAAAAACTGGGGGGAGGAGTTAGTATCAGCCACAGGGTGTGGGTGTGTGGACATGTGAATTCCTCTGTACTTCATAGCACACACCCACACCCAAACTTTGGGGAACAAGAATATGTAATTACAACTAATTTTCGTCCTTATAAAGCTGGAAAAGTGAAGTGAACAATATTTAATGATTTTTCAAATTTTTTTTTGTTTTTTTCAATTTTTCGATTTTTCAACTAAACTTGTGACTCCTATATCTCTTTAAAAGAACATTCGTTTAAGCTGATTTTTTATTAGGAGCACAACTCATTGAGTTCTACAACATAAGGGCACACTCGGTCAATTTAGAGAACATGTGTGTTTTCATGGGAGAAACCCCATGGAATAGGCCTTTTCTAAATAACTACCAATATTTCTCTATCATTTATTATTAGTTATTTTCTGACACAAGTTGAAGCTATATTATAAGATGTCTTGCCTTTGATGATAGCCTAAAGTACTAGAATAAAATAATGCAACATCAACCGATGTTACAATCGACAAATTGTTATAAAAATAATTGAATTTATGTGATAAATTTTTTCGTTTAAAAATACTCATTGTTAAGATGGATGGCATCAAAAAATATATCTTTTGTGAAGAAATACTACATATGGTCATAAATGTGTTAAAAGGAATTTTTTTTCTTCTGCCAATATGACCTTTTTTTATTATTAAATAGTAATATAAATGGTTGTCGACATTCATTTCCCAATGTAATGAAGCAAAACTATTGAATACAGCTTCTTATTATGATTTTACAAATCGAAATTCAATAAAGCATAAGAAAACAGTTGTCCTCTCGTGGAAACAGCTGTCGAAAATATAAGAAAAAGAAAAAAAATGCAACATATTTATGAAGGTCAAATAGAAGTCGAGAAGAGTATTAATTGCAGTCGATCACCAACGTATAGTACAATAAAAGGTAAAATGTTTGAATGATATTATCGATTCAAATCTAAGTAAAAACACATGGGATTAGTTTCTTATCATTTTCGTTTTTTTCTGATTGATATCCAAACAAAAAGAATATATTTAAAGTGAGGTCTGAAATCTTATATTACAAAATATTTGCATAAAAATAAGCACAGAATAAGATAAAGTATATTTACTGTAAAAAACCTGTTCTAATGAATGGCAATTTAAGCTGTTCTGTTCCTACGGAGCAAAAAAAAACATTTAAGAAGCTGATAAATCAATAGTATGAATAAGTATGGCATATTAGTAGAACACAACTTGAAAAGATTAAGACACTCCTAAGGTACTTAGGTATTATATGAATATTTGATTTCTTTTCTGTCGTGTTCCCCACAGGATATAATACCTTGCAATTTCATCATAAAGCATACTTGTCGTATTCAATAAGAGTTGTACGAAGTATTTTACCTTCACTCAAATATCTCTAGATTTTAGTAAAATTTATTTACTATTTAACATTAATTATGTAAGTAATAAAACAAAATGTATTATTACTAACTTCTTTCACATATGTAAGGATCTACTATAGATAGATATATATGTATACATGTTGAGGAAACAGTTGATTAAGCATTAGAGTCATTTAGAAGTAATTATTTCTCTTTACTCGCTCGCTTATGCAGTGATTGGAAGTGTTTACTTTTGCTGCTTCTTTGCTCGTTCCGTTATTTTTGTTGTTCGTTCTCACAATAATTCAAGTCTAAGACTTGTCAATTTTTGTGGTAACTAACTGCTTGAAATATACAAACTCATAGTTTTATTAATCAACAGCAACCAGTTTATATGCTCGATGAAAAATTTCGTATCTAGGCACTGATAAATAGTGTATCACGTACTAGAATCAATGAGAGATTGTAAAAATAGAAAATTGTCTATTGTAATGTCCTAATTAATTGCAAATCGATAAAAAAATTCAGTCCTTCGTATACTTCCAACAATGACCTAAGAGTCAAATCGTTAATCAGTACTCGTCAGCTAGTGTCTAACAGCTCAACATCATGTTAAATAACAACAAATATGGTTCACAATAAACATTCATTTCGCACTGGTACAACAGTCGATGATTTATTTCAACATGAATTAATAACAAGCACTACTATCATCATATCAACCACTGATTCATGTAATTGCTCTGCATTCTTTATCAATGACTGATCCAACAGTATCGTCAATGCCAATACGAGCTCAAACCAAGAAAAGTTGCAATTATACTAAGGGCGTTTCTCAATCAAATGTGCAATTACGAACATAATACCCACACACCATTCATGTATTTAATTTGAGCAATACATCCAACAAACGTCTTCATAAAATCAACTAAAAAAAATACAATCAAAATTTTCTCACCACAGGGAACATGGCAGGTTTAGATAACAATCAGCAACACTTTTCTATAGCATGGTTGATGATCTCGATTTCAAATTAATGCTGTAGCCTACCGCTGAGGAAGAACAGAATTAGAAGACTGACAATTCACCACAAGAAGTTCATTGATTCCTTAGCAACTTGTTCCAGTCTTACTGTTTCTATCAGTACAAATAGATTACGATGATTTCGTGCAGGATTTGAAAGACAAATATCCGAGTACATCGAATATAATTCGTTTACAAAAAAAAGCATAACAATTGGTATGAGCAGTTAAACTGAAATTTCTATCGTCTAAATTACGTAATGAAATATTAGGAGTCAGTAAAATTTCGATGATGCACATTAAACTCAAAGTGGTCGAATTTTATTCATCAGATAATGCACTGATTTGCTCCAATCGTTACGCAATTAGACACTTGAAAAAGAATTAGTCACAAAAGGATGAACCACGTGCAAAACATGTGCGAGGAAAATATTCTAATCTCAAAGACCATTAAGTTTTAGGTGTTTCGAAATATATAGATAAAGACATTTTCAAACTGTCTCCTAGTCAAATTTTTTTACTGAATGAAGAAATAATAAATGATACACAAATGGTGGCAAATATGGCTGCTCATTATTATGAAATGTTATTCGAGACGCCATTGGTAATTTATCCGAAATTTTAAAGAGTATTACGAAGGAGAAAGAAAAAAAATGATCACTAGCTATTTATGGATCGTCACCCTATATACTTGATAAAATTCCTCGAAACTATTGCCATCTATTGGTTCAAATGTATAATTATTCATTCCCTAAAAGTGACATTTAAAAGAAATTCAAGAAAGTGAGAATGACATTACGGTATTTGAAAACTACTATATATGTATCTAATCAGACAAGACTCATCTCGCTTTTCGATTCGTTTTTAAGGAACTTTCATGTTGAACATCGACTACAGACACCTGTATTATCTTTTCTCAAGCGAATTTCGCCGCAGATGCCGAATTGTTCGCCTATTGCGATGGTCTTCGTTGACTTTAAATCTATGTTTTGCCAATTGTGATTTGACAGATGTTTGTGGCAGTTTGCTAGAACGAATATCCCTCAAATCTATGTAAATTGGATTCGAACGTGGCTAAGTGATCCTCAAGGAATTATATAGGTGCAGAGTAAAAGATCGACCTGAAATTACAAAAAACGTTGTAGAATTCTAGGAATGAATGCCTGCTGTTCGAATAACCAGCACTAAACGCGCACAAACAGAACTGACAAGAAAGAGCAGAACGATTTCACTGTCTTCACAGATCAAAAATATTGGTATCGCACATGGATGACAACATGTGGGATATCAGAATCTGTAGTAGTACGCAACAAAGAAGGGTTTTATGCTTTTTGTTCTCTTCTGAAAGCTTCTAATCAATTGGCTCTCGCTATTACTGCGCATAGGTTGCACTGACCAGAAAAGAAGAGATAAATAACAAAGAAAAAGGAAACGAGAGAGGAAGTCAAAGGAAAAAAAACAACATGTACTATGTCAGTGTATCAGTAGTAGTAGAATTCAAGAATTTTTCTAATTCGTTCGATTACTTCAATACGTTTTGTATGGTGCATTAGATATTCTTATCTCTACTTCCAAATCAGAATTCTACGTAGAATTTTGTTTTTCTAGATAAGTCGTACTTCACTATATATCACGATTATTATTATTAATTAAATATCAATTGATAACATCGAAGATAGCGTGAACAGTGAAGGAGGTAAGTAATTTCAAATTATTGATGTTTTTCTGTGTGAGGAACAAGAACATTATTTAAATCATTATGTTGTACTTCATGAAAAATACTAACATTACTCCAATTAATTTTTTTTTCTGCATCAAAATCATCAATATTATTTCGTTCTTCATGACGAACATTATCACATTCATAATGCTAAGATTTATGAATATACAAAAAAAACCTCATGATTAACTTCCAAGGCATAATATTGAGCAAGAAATAGTTGCAATTAATTTTAATAAATTCTTAAATGTAAAAGATATAAATCTATCAATGGAAATAAATGATAATGATTGCAAAAACATTAACAGAATATGGAAGAATTGGTGATAAATTACATGAATTACGAACATTTGTCTCTCATACAAAACATAAATCCATACAAATCGGTAAAAAAAAATGTAAACTAAATTTTAATTATAGATATTTAAAACAAAGTGATGAAATCGTTTTGAAAATTGCTAGTTTAAGGCTAAAGGCAACACTCGGTATTCAATTGAATTAAATCAATTTCGTCAACAACTTCAGAAAATACCAGATCAAGTGGAGAGTGAAGAAATTCAATATCTTAGATATATTTATTTGAATCTTCATGAAACTCACCAACATTGGAATTGGATTCAAAATTTAATTCTGTAGAAATAAGTGTATGTAATAAACAACCGAATTCTGCTAGGAAATCGTAAATTTTATTATTATGAATATGCTAATGTTCGTCATGAAGAACGAAATAATGCTGTAGATACTGTTTGTGATTTTGATGCAGAAAAAATGTTATTTTGAATACTGGCAATATTTTTTATGAAGTATAACACAATGATTTACATAATGTCAATGTTTTTCAAGCAGAAAAACATCAGTAATTTAAATTACCTACTTGCTTCACTATTCATACTGTGTTTGATATTGTCAGTTGATTTTGAATTGATAATAATAATCGTTATATATAATGAAGCATAACTCTGCTAGAAAAACAAAATTTTAAGCGAAGTTTCGATTTGAATGTAGCTATAGATATATATAACGAATGACAATTCTGCGAGGAAATAAAAATTCTGGCACAGTTCTGTTGTACTAAACAGAATTCTTATTGTTTTGCTACAGTATTATAAAAAAATATGTTAATATGAACAGAATTTGAATATAGATAATGATAAACATATTTACTACACAAAATTCTGAAATTCTGCATGTGACTATTCTACTAATCCTCTTTTCGTTGTGTCCACTGTCAGAAGTCTTTCTGATCTTACTCTTTTTCTTTCTTCATCCTTTTATTTTTATTTTTACTTTTATTCTGTTCGCTACTGGAATGTAAGTTGCCAGAGCTCAATCGTTCTTTTAGGATCAACATGTTCGTAGAATAAAAAAATGTTAATAATCGAACTAATTTTTAACAAAAGAGAAAAAATAAAACTTTCTGTTGGATGTATTAACATACCTTGATTAAATCTCAGACTTGAATAACATACAATACTTGATAAGAAGTCTAGTTATATAAAGTAATGCTATGGACATTTTTAGAGTGAACCCAATTAACAAATCGGTCTTCTTATCTTTCGACGACTAAGAACATGGCTGGCTGGAATAGTATGTAATAAAAAAAACAGCTATTATCGAAAAAACTATGTGAAAGAAACTTTTTTTAGGTGGACTTTTTGATTGTTTCGACGATTGTGGCATTTGTCTTTATGGTTATTGCTGCACACCATGCCTATTTGGAGAAAACGCTGAAAAAATCGATGGCAGCAATTGCTGTAGTTCATGCTGTATATGGTACCTACTGGCAGGATGTAGTTTATGCTGTCTAATACACATGGGCAAACGACAAGCTTTGCGTACTCGTTTTGGTCTTGAAGAAGATTGTAATGATTGTTTAGCAACAACATTTTGTGCTCCATGTGCAATTTGCCAAGAAGCACGTGAACTCAAATATCGTTCAGCTGCTCCTACAGGTATATGAACATGTAAAAACTCTATATATATTATTGAATAGATTCTCGATGGTTTTAGTATCAGCACCAATTGTAACACAACCAATTGGCACAACTATGTATCCAGCATATGGACAACAAGAAAATATGCAACCTACACGTGAACAACCTGGAATGATGAAACAAGGACCATATTAAATGCCTCTATTGAACGATACATTTTTTCATTTACTAAATATTTTATCTTTCCATAATCTTGTTTTATCATTTCATATTCTTAATTGTTCGAAAGTATTTTATTCTATATGTTAATAAGAAACAAAAATAATAATTATAATTAATTGTCATTTTTATTTAAATATTGCATACTAAAATCTATTCGTAGACTTCTATTCTTTGATGCATATAAAAATTCATAGTCTGATCTAATCATGAGATTTTTGTAAATTTTGTGTTACTTCTTAAATTATCTACTGTTGTCTTGATAATCGATAATTGCTTATTGTTGAGCATTACTCGATTTCTAATCAATTAAGTATGATTATCGATAATTCTTCCAGCCTAAGGTATAAAAATCATTATCGAAATATTTTATTAAATTTACTATTAATCTACAGGTTATTTTGAAAGTTGATTGCTTTAGATGTTGGTCTCTCCTAGCTTGCAAAATATTTTGTTTGAATTATTTTTGAAATCGTTTGTATTTCGCAAAAGAAATCATTAATTGAAGGTTTTTTGCTGCGTAATCATACGCAGACACTTGAGTCTCAAGGCTACTGAAAACTGTTTTATTTAGGCTTACTTAAAGTACTTTTTTATTCAATAAATGGGATAGTGAGAAAATTGTAATAATTGACCTCGATTCTATTAAGCTAGAACAAATTTGTTTATCATTTATTATTATTATTTTTGACAAATGAACGCAATGATTTTTGGACATAATCTCCCAAACAAACTGGCAGATACTTAGTTAAATATATCAAGCACTAATACACTTTTTGGTGATATTACTCGTTGGATTCTTTGCGGTGTGGGTATCTGTATGACATAAATTTAAAAAGCGACACCCACACTCAAGACCGAATCTGCAACCTACCTCCCCTCTATAGCTAGTTATCATTATTTTTCTTTCGTGAAGAGCGCAAATATACTTTTTGTTACGTGACACACTGTCAACATATAATGATTCTTAAAGTGAAAGATATGAAATTTTAAAGTGATAAAGAAAAGGTACACACATGATAACCAACCAAACAATAGTGTAGAGAAGATGATTGGTGAGTCTATATAAGGAATACGTTTTACAACGTCTGCAGTGGCCATTTACTCTTTCAATTTCTGAATTCAAAAGTTACATCCAATCAAGTCGAAAACTCAACAGCAGGTAGGAAGTCTTTCATACGAGAGAAAATCAAGAAGTTGTCCGTCTCGTCCCAACTATCTTCGACCTTTCCGCATCATCAAGAAAATGCGCTCTGATCCATCGCTCTTGCCACATTATATTTGAGCTCCGCAACTGTTTGCTTTCCAGCTATACGAATTTGAAAAGCAAACATATCCAAAACAGATTCCGATAGATGCGGACGATGATCACTACGCTTTCGAGTAACATAATCCATGTAATTCTCTTTGTGACAGTCTTCTAGGACTCATTTTAACGAATAAAAATATTCAAACTTCGTTCTTCCATAGTACTCACTGAAAAATGCAGAATGTAGATTCTAATTATTTTCTATAGATCTCAGTCCACTTATACTGACCCTTTCAATATGCTCGTTTGTCATATAAATTTTCTAGTGTATCAAAACTGTTGAATTGGATGTGAAAATGGGTGTCGGTATAAGACAATATAAAAACTGACAACTACGTTCACGCCAACATCCAAGTCGACGTCGTCCTCCACACATTCAAACCTTGCAATTTTGTTATGAATACTGAAATACTGATACTGAAGTCATGGACAGCGAGTTCTCTATAGTAGTAACTACACTAGCATCACTGCACACTGGAACACTAATGGTACTGGGACATCGAGGTTCATTGGTATACTAGACATACCTATGGCAGTAAACGTTGGTGTCCCAGTGTCATCAGTGATCCAGTGTACACCGATGTCAGTGAATTTATTGCTACAGTGAGCTCATCTGTCGGTGACATTGGTGATCCGTAAACTGAAATCGCACATTCCTTGATAAAACAATAGTAAAAATATGTCCGCTTCTGTTGATGCAAGGAATGAAAGTGACGATATACGCTCACTAGTTTTTTTTTCTTTTTTATCCTTCTTGTTATCCGTGCAGACGTTCGATACTAACAAAGATAAGCAAAAGGACGCAATGTCTTGCCTGTTAAACATATCCTAGAAGTTTAATCTATTGTACATACTATCTCTTCGAGTCATTCTGTAATCTTTTTAAAAAATTTCAAGTTTACTTGGCTTTTTTAATAATTATTAGATGTCTTTTATATTACAATCAGTGTACTCCATATACTTCCACTATATTCTTATTCTATTCCATGTACTCTAGGAATACGAGAGTATGTTATTTTCCCTTGACTAGATCATCAGTCGAACTTTTGTGCTGAATATCGACTACAAACATGTGTATCACTACTCATAGAGCAAATTTCGTCGTAGATGTGAAATAGATCGCCTATCGCAACGATCTTCGTTAGACTTAAATCTATATTTTCTCAATTGTGGTTTGACAGATGTTTGTGCATGCTTACTAGAACGGGTATCTCTCAAGTCCATATAAATTGAATTTGAGCGTGGTTCAGTGATCCTTAAAGAATTATGTAAGCGCAGAATAGAAGATCGACCAGAATTACAAAAAACCTTGTAGAATTTCTGCTGTTCGAATAACCAGCACTGAACACGCACAAACTGGATTGACAAAAAAGAGCAGAAAGAATTCGATGTCTTTACAAGTCAAAAAGATTCGTACCACACATGGATGTACTGAGACAAGTGCTCACATGGCTAACCATGTATAGGATTTTCGATTTCGTAGTAGTACATAAGAAAGAAGTATTTTAACGCTTTCCTTTACCTACTAAAAGCTTCCAGTCAATTGTTCTTTGATGTTGCTGTATGTAGATCAATGTTCTTCATCCAAAAGTACATTAGTAATTTGAATTACTTGACTGCTCCATTATTCATATTGTCTTTGATGTTGTCAGTTGATATTGAATTAATAATAAGAATAAGAACCATTATATACAATGCAGCACAACTATGCTATAAAATCAGAAGTCTGCTGGAAAAGCAAAACTCCAAAAAAAGTTTTGGTTTAAATGCAAAAATAAGTATACACTTATAATGAATGACTATTCTGCTAGGAAATAAGAATTCTGATATAGTTCTGTTATACTGAACAGAATTCTTATTGTTTTGCTACAGTAATATAAAAATTATGTTAATATGAACAGAGTTTAAATGTAGATAATGATAAACATATTTACTACACAAATTTCTGAAATTGTGCTTGTGAGAACTCGGCCAGCTCTCTTTTCGTTGTGTCCACTGTCAGAAATCTTTCTAATATTGCTCTTTTTCTTTCTTCATGCCGCTATTCTCCTGCATTCATTTATTTTTATTCTGTTCACTACAGCAATGTAAGGTTCTAGAGCGTAGTCGTCCCTTTATGGTCGATATGATCGTAAGATCAAAAACCGTTAATAAGCGAAATCATTTTCAACGAAAGAGAAAAAAGAAAAATATTTCTGCCTCTCACTAGAATAAAATGTAATAATTGATAAGAAGTCTAGTTATATGAAGTAATGCTATGGACATTTTTAGAGTGAACTCAATCAACAAATCGGTTTTTTTTATCCTTCAGCAACTAAACATATGACTGCCTGGAGTAGTATGTAAAAAAAGCAACTACTATCCATAAAACTATGTAAAAAAAAAAACTTTTTTTAGCTGGACTTTTTAATTGTTTTGACGATTGTGGCATTTGTTTTTATGGTTATTGCTGCACACCGTGTCTATTTGGAGAAAATGCTGAAAAAATTGATGGCAGCAGTTTTTGTGGTTCATGCTGTTCATGGTGCTTGCTAGCAGGATGCAGTTTATGTTGTCTAGTACATATGGGCAAACGACAAACTTTACGTACTCGTTTTGGTCTTGAAGAAGATTGTAATGATTGTATAGCAACAACATTTTGTGCTGCATGCGCAATATGCCAAGAAGCACGTGAACTTAAATATCGTTCAGCCGTTCCTGCAGGTATATAAACATATAACAGCTTTATATATTATTGAATATATTATCTATGGTTATAGGGCCAACACTAGTTGTAACACAGCCAATGGGCATGGGTTTTCAATCACCATATGGACAACCAGGAAATATGTAACCCACAAATGAACAATCTGGAATGATGAAACAAGGACCATATTAAATGTCTCTATTGAATGATTCAGTTTTTCGTTTGCTCAGTGTTATCTTTTCGTAATCTTGTTTTATTATTTCATATTCTAAGTAATTTAGAAAAATATTTAATTCTGAACGTTAACAAGAAATAAAAATAATAATTATAATCAATCGTCATTTTTATTTAAATATCCCATATTAGTATCTATTCGTGAACTTTCATTTGTTAATACATTTGAAAATTCATTGTCAGATCTAATTATAGAATTGTAATGAATTTTTTGTTTTGATAATCGATGATTGCTTATTTTTGCGCATTACTCAATTTCTTCCCATTGAAGTATGATTATTGATAATTCTTCCAGCATATAAGATATAAAAATCATAGTCGAAATATTTTATTAAATTTACAATTAATCTACAAGTTATATTAATTTCGCAAAAAAATAATTGATTGAAGTCTTTATTCTGCCTAATCATATCCAGATACTTTAGTCTCCAACAGTACTCCAAACTGTTTTATTTAGGTTTACTTGAAGGTTCTATTTTTATTCAATAAACGGTTTAGAGATAAAATTGTGATAATTGGCATCGATTCTATTAAGCTAGAACAAATCTTTATCATTTATTTTTATTGTTTTTGACAAATGAACATCATTTTTTTTTTTGAACATAATCTCCCAAATAAAACTTGCAGATACTTAGTTAAACATATCAAGCTCTAATACACTTTTCGATGATATTGTTCATTGAATTCTTTATTCATTATTTTAATGGAGGAGGAAAGGTTCTTTGAAAAGAGTTTGGTTCTAATATGTATTTATTTCTTTGGTTAAATCTTATTTTTCTAATTAACTAATAGTATTTCTCTTTTCTTTAATATTAACTGTCTTGTGACACTTGTGGCAAACATACTTCGAGAGGTCTGATCTGTATTAAGTCAGGTCCTCCTTTAAAAAAGAAGTGAAATTTGGTCACAAAAATCAAAATTGAGATAAATACAAGGGAACAAGCGAGAAATATTTTTCGTTTTCCGTTTGTGTATGCTTCTCTAATCGTGTAGTTCAGGTTTCTGAAAGGAGCTTCATTGTAATCAATTGTTCTATTATTGTTTCAACGAGCATGTGTGAAGGTGCAGTCGCCCGTTTTTTGAATTTAGCATTTTGATTTTGATATAAAAAACACTTCTATAAATGATCGACTAGTTTTTGAGCGTATTTGGAAGTATTGCACTTGTTATTCTTTTTCTCCACACAACAATTAAGAACTTAAAGAAAAAAGAACTCGGTGAAGTACTAGGAAATTATGGTCCACAGAGAATTTAGGATTGCCCAACAAGATATTTTTGACTCTTGTTTGTTGAATATCTTCCTCGAACAACATGACATAGAGCTGAAAATTTTAGCATACACTCTTCGATACAGCCTCAACATATCTTACGATCGACAAATTATCATAAGAATACATCAATTAATTCGATAAATCTTTTCAATTGAAAAGATTCATCACTAGTGTTGATGACACCAAGAAATATATCTTTTGTGAACAAAAAAAATACTAAATATGGTCACATATGTGTATTGATAAGAAAAGGTTTTTTTCTTGTATCATATAACCTTTTAATTACTAAACAAACATAAAAAAATCCATCGACATTAATGTTTAAATTTAATGAAGCAAAACTATTGAATAAAGTTTCTAATTGCGATTTCACAAACGTAAATTTAATAAAACATAAGAAAACAGTTATTCACTAGTGTAAATAGCTACCGAAAAAATAATAAAAAGAAAAGAATATAACATGCTCATGAAAGTTGAATAGAAGTCGAAAATAAAATTAACTTAAGTTAATTCACTAACATAAAACACAGTACAACTTAAGTAGTTTGAATAATATTATCGATTCAAATCGAGATAAACATACAAGAAATTCATTGTTTTTCCTGACTGATGTATAATGAAGAATATGTGCAAATTGAGATCTGCAATATCGTATTACAAAATTCTTACAAAGAGAAGTAAGTGAGAGATGATATAAAATATATTTGTTGTAAAAAAATCACTTCACTAAATAGTAATATAAGCTGCTCTGTTTCGATAAAGCAAAAACAAAAAACACAACATTTAAGCAGCCTATAAATCAATATTATGAATAAGTATAATGCATTGACAGAATATAACTTGAAAAGACTGCGACGCGCCTCAGGTATTCTTTTGTATTGAATGAATATTTTATTTCTACTCGATCATATTCTTTACGGAATATAATGCCTTTGCAATTCCACCGTATAGAACATTTGTCGTATTCAATAAGAGTCAAAATCATGTATTTCGCCTTCATTCATATAAGTCTAGATTTTGCTAAAAAAAAACTTGCGAATTCTTGTGTGAGTTATAAAATACAATGCATTATTACTAACTTGTTTTCCAGATTCAATTAAAAACTCTGTAAAATAGTTAATAAGCATCAAAGTCATTTCCAACTATTTGGTTTTTGTTGTATATATACATATGCTTTGAGGAGACCTCCAACTAGGATAAAGTACAACGATGTTTCCTATCGGATGTTTTTTTTTGCTGTTCGATTCTGTTGTAAGTGTAGACATATGAAAGTAATTGATTGAGTAGAGAAAAGTTAAGTATTCGATCATAATTCTCTCTCAATACTTTTTTAACGTCTTGAAGATAATTTCTGAAATCCAAAATGTACTCAGTAGATAGATATCATGTCAGACTATGAAATGGTCAGGAAAAACAACTTTCAGTAACGAAATAGAGATAATACCCTAAAAAAAAAAGAAGACAACTCATCATTTTTCATCTCTCTACAGTAACATTGTGGAGTACATGACATGCATATGAAGATAAACAGTATACTTTACTTGAACTATAAATTTGTAGATTTCTTATCTGAAACTATAGATAATATAATATGCCGGGTGCTAATGATTGGAACGGTAAGATTTATTGAAAATAGAATTCATCTTTTCATAGATTTTTTTTATGAAATTTTAGAATCTTTATGCGGTTGTTTTGATGATTGCAGTTCATGTTGTTATGGTTTTTTTTGTACACCATGTTTATTTGGTTCAAATGCAAAGAAAATAAGTGGTCATAATTGTGTTGTTATGTGTTGTTTATATTCAATTTTAACGAGTTGTTATTTATGTTGGTTACCACATTTATTTGAACGTCAAGCATTCCGTGAAAAATATAATTTAATAGAAAATCCATCATGTGGAGATTGTCCAACAACATTATGTTGTGGTCCATGTGCAATTTGTCAAGAAGCACGAGAAATAAAATCACGAAGTATATTATGACGAAAGAATTAATTTAATCTTGTAATTTCCTTTTATATTGATTTTATTTTTCAGAAAGAGGTGGTGTTACTTATTCAACAGGTGCTCCAACTGTCGTTTCTCAACCAGTACCAGTTCAACGAGGTGTTTATCCTGATACTCATCGCAATTTCTAAGTTTGAATTAGACATATTCAAGAGTGAACTTTTCAAATTGTCTTGAATTATTAATCATATTTTATTTGATTTTGTTTTTTGCTTTGATTTATTTATTTTTTATTCGAAAGATGAGGTAAAATTTGATCAATAAAAAATTCAGTCAAATATTACTGGTGAAAACTGAGAAAGATTATATTAAATAATATTGTATCTGGAAGCACAGAAAAAGAAGTTCATTTATTTGTAAAACTTCTTTTTCTTAACTATTCTTGAAATAACATTGAAAATAACAAAACATATGTGCTTCATTTTCCATTTACTTCAAAGAAAGAAAAATTATATTCCAAGGTTCTTGTTAAACATTTTTTAGTGCGTCACTAATAAAGCTCTACAAGATTGTTTTTGCGTAAAGCTTGAATCTGATTCCGTGTATATTTATAATAAGAATCTTATACCTTGGATCAGAAAAATATGATATAAGATAATTACTATTCAGCATACTTCAAATATGTCTAGTAACCGATAAAAAACATTCTGTGATAGCATTTCGTGTTTGTTTAGAAATATCAGGTACTTCGAGTTTGACGAGTAACCCTCTATAGCTTCAAATCCAATCGATACTAAATTTGAAAATTTCTTCTGACAGTCATTTAGTCTCCTCACTAATTAATTTCATTTACAATATTCACAAGGAAAGCCCTTCGACAGTTCAGCAGCTTTTGAATCGAGACTATGTGCATTATGTAGATCCAAATGACCTATGAATATCCTGAAAAGAGCTTGTATCCTTAGTTTATTGGTACGGAACTATTGTACTTTTATGGTCTGCTTTAAGGCCTCTCCCCCCCCCCCCGCTCCAAAAAGTCGATTTTCGGCAAGAGAAATGGAGC